TATATCTCTAGGTTTAATTATAATTTTTTAAGAGAATGTTTGAGAAATACCCCTTTTGGTGTACCCCTTTTTAAAAATAGCCCCTTTTTCTATCCATTTTCAAAAATACCCCATTTTAAATAAAAAAAATTATAAAGTTTTATATAGTTTATAAGGTACTTCTATATAATAACTACTACTGGGAGATTCGATACAAATATTTTAAAATGTTTTATATAGTTTTAAATCGTTTTTATAAGTTTTATAAGGTTTTTAAAAGGGTTTATACGGTTTTTATAAGGTTTTTATAAGGTTTTTATAATTTATTTTTACGCTATTTATGAAAGGTATATAAAGTTTTACACACATATAAAACTAATTTGTGTATATATTTATAAGCTTACACACATATTTGGATAAATTTCAACATTTTTAGTGGGTTTTTTGATAAAGTTTGAAAAGGGGGTATTTTTAAAAAGAGGTATATGAAAAGGGGTATTTTTGAAATTCCCCCATTTTTAATCCTTGTAGTATAGTAGGTAGAAAACTGAATATCAAATTGTTTTTTAGATAGAAAATCAAGTATAAAATTCAAAGTAAAGAATTATAATGATATTTATAGTATTTGATTTTGAATCACAAACTAAATATAATGGTCATTATCTATAAAAGAATGTCTTACAAATTGGTTACATAATTATATAACAAAATAATTACATACTTTGTAATTATTATTCTTTGTTAAAATAATTACATACTTTTGAAAATAAAATAAATATACATGAATATGTGAGAAAGAAACAAACATCCAAAGTAAAAGGAAAAAGATGGTTTCCTTAACTTGACTTTCTTATTGTGGGATGGTCGGGAATCAATATTTTTCAATCCCAAGTACGGTAAAATAATTTTCTTATAGCCATAGAATATTTTTTATACATATGTATTATACATTTAAAAATAAGACATATGTATTATACATTTAATAATAAGACATATGTATTATACATTTAAAAATAAGACATATGTATTATACATTTAAAAATATAATAAAACAATGAAGAAATGAAGAAGTACATAAAACAAAGAAGAAATATAATTGAAAAAAAAAAGTGTAAACAAAATATTTAATCAAACTCTTACAATGATATCTTAATTGAGTCTTCATCCCATGCAAGAACTTTATAAAAAAATACAAAGACAATATTGATAGTAACATCCCGGGATGGTTGTTCAATTTTGATAGTAATTTTCTAGTATTTTTGAGCATTTTAGGTTAAAAATATATTATTAATGATACAATAAAATTTACTATAATGTTCAAATTGTTTTAAATTTTTTCATATAGACTAACACATAACCAAAATTATTTTTTAATTAAAATCTAAATTAGTTTGAAAGTAAAAAATTATATATATTTCCTATAACATCATATGAAATGAAATCAAAAGTTTTAAAAAAAATTCCCAAAGAATAATATTTCTTTTTTAATATCTTTTTTATATATTCCTCTTAATTTAAGTTATATTTCTAAGTTTAATTATAATTGTTTAATCCTTGTCATACAAGATAGATAGAAAATTGAATATTACATTGTTTTTTATATAGAAAACCAAGTATAAAAATTTTAAGTTAATAAAGATAGTAATGATCTTTATATATTATTATATGTTGAATCCCATACTAAATATAATGATTTTGGTTGTAAAAAAATATATTACAGTTTTTTTTTGGAGGTAAGACAGAGTTAAGAACAATTGATTTGATAATTATTTAACAAAAATGTTCTTTTGCTAAATAAAATACATACTTTTAAAAATAAAATAAATATACATGTATACTTAGCTTGATTTTCTTATTGTGCGATGGTAAACACAATATTTTTGAACCTCCGTCGATAAAATAATTTTATTATAGCCATATTATATACACTAAAAAATAAACGAAAACAATAGGGAAAGGAAAAATACATAAAAACAAAGAAAAAATAAAATTGGAAAACGTAAAATATAGTTAAACCAAATATATAATCAATTTCTTACAATGATATCTATCTAAATTGAATTTTCAAACCATGTAAGAAGCCAAGAACATGGAAGAAAAAACAGAGAAAATATTTAGTATATGAGATATGGTGGAGGATGATATGAGAATGGTTTTTATAGGCTATGAAGTGATGTATGTTACATTTCTAAAATAATTAAATTAGAGGAGTTAATATTATAATTTATTGAGTGTTAATTGAAATTGGATGGAGAAAACAAATAGTCAATACACAATTTATGTAATTTCAATTATAATTTTAGTAGTAAAGTATGAATTAATGTATACGATTAACTGTGTTGCAATTTTGATTTAATTAAAATGAAATATTACATTGTGCTTGGTCGCTTGGGTTACGAACCCCGTCTCCAACAGATGGTTCTTATCCAACGAGCTATTAAAGCAAATCTCGAGAACCTTTCCAACCAGGCACTTGCCCAACTTGCAAACCATCTCAGGGAGATCTTGGTTTCTGTGAGAGCTGAGTATGGAGCCCGTATCAATATATTGACTGAGTTTGCAATTTCCATATCTGAAACTTTTATATTTTTTTGTGCAAATCCAGATCTGATGCTTTTTGATATACTATGTAGTTGGTCGAGAATGTGATCAGTGGAATTTTGGCTTTGGTTTTATGTCTTTTCATTTGTTTCTACTTGAAAAAAAAAAGAAATTTATTAGTAGATAAAAATTAAATAAAAATAGAAAAGTGATGGTAGTAGGCATTATCACTCATGAAAGTTATCTCCATTAGTAAAATCATTGGAATTTACCAAATCATGCAAAATCATTCCTCCTTTGTCACAGTTACTGACGTGGATGTCACATCATTGATGATGTCGATGATGTGGTTGCCATGTTTTTTTTTTAAACAAATATATATTTTTTTATCTAACACAACTATTAAATAAATTTTCTCGAAAAATTTAAATTTTATTTTCAAAGTTATAAACTCAAAATTTGCAATTTCCCCTTCTGAAATCTTCAAATCGCTTATAATAAAAACATAAACTATCCAATTTTATTTATTAAATTTTAGAAGAGATTTTAAAATCTAATATCACTACAATTACTGTATTTTAGGAATAAAAAACAATTTCCTAATAATTTTCATTGGCAAAGATACATAGATATAAGTTAAGTTACAAAGATAATATTATCATGAATGAGAAAGTTAATTATATATTTAAAATATAGTTATTCCAATAGCAATACATGTAATTAAATTCTTCTTCAACTAAAAAATGTCTTTCGACTAATATATAAGATTATTTAAAAGCGAAATTACAATTTTTTGGTTTAAAATCGTTTAAATATTGGATTCAATGGAAATATTGGTTATAAGTTTTTGGAAGTAAGATTTTAACTTTAACCAAAAAATTGTTTTAGATAATATTAGTGGAGGAAATATGTTTTGCGACTAAAAAATCACAACTGTTTTAGATAATATTAGTGGAGGAAATATGTTTTTTGTATAAAAGATGATGACGTGGCAACAACATTATCAAAGACGTAGAAACCACGTCATCAACATCATCACCGTCGTCAAAGATGTGGCATCCATGTCAACATCTTCACACAAGTTGGTAATTTAAAGTATGAAATTTGAATTTGTTAATAAATTGTATATGTTTCTGCATATAGATAAATGTTAAGTATGAATTGATCACTCATAATTATGATTGGGTATGAAATGGCCAATTTTCTTAAAACCTTAGCATCTTAAGTATATATATATATATATATATATATATATAAAAATAAATATGAAAGAAGTAAAACAAAATGAACAAATATGCCACGAGAAAGGTAAACAGTGTAAAATTGATTACACTTGAAAAGGTGATCAGTGGAAATTAGAAGATGAACAAAAGAACATGTCAAAATGTGAATAAGAATACAAGTCAAAGAGGTGTGTTTCAAGTATATACATATATATAAATGATGCTTACATACATACATATAAGGGAGTACCTTTACATGGGCTCAGATACTGAATATCACATATATGTGGTGGTGGTTCTAGTAGGAGTCACGTTGGAGTAGGTTCAAAATACTAGACTTTCATTAGACACCACCACACTAAACCGCATGAGTAAGTTGGGTGCAAGTGCAATAATCTCTTTTCTACTCTCTCTACACTCTCTTTAGGAGGTGCCCTTGTTGCTAGTTTTGCCAACTATAAGCTTAAGATGTGCGTTTGTTGAGTTATGTGTTTCCCGATGAACTCTTATGCGGAGTTCACAAAAAAAAAAGTATATATATAAAAATAAATATGAAAGAAGTAGAACAAAATGAACAAGTATGCCACGAGAAAGGTAAAAAGTGTAAAATTGATTACACTTAAAAAGGTTTATATTTGATCAGTGGAAATTAGAAGATGAACAAAAGAACATGTCAAAATGTGAATAAGAATACAAGTCAAAGAGGTGTGTTTCAAGTATATATATATAAATGATGCTTAGATACATACATACATATAAGGGAGTACCTTTACATGGGCTCGGATACTGAATATCACATATATGTGGTGGTGGTTCTAGTAGGAGTCACGTTGGAGTAGGTTCAATATAAGAATCTTTCATTAGACACCACCACACTAAACCGCATGAGTAAGTTGGGTGCAAGTGCAATAATCTCTTTTCTACTCTCTCTACTCTCTCTTTAGGAGGTGCCCTTGTTGTTACTTTTGCCAAAGATGTGCGTTTGTTGAGTTGTGTGTTTCCCGATGAACTCTAATGCGGAAACCTTCTCTTCAAATGCTCTCTTGAGAAGTTGATGCTTGCAAAAGTTGTTAACATGGTATTCTTTTGAAATGTGTTGAATTGAAATTGCAATCCCGCTAAGGGACCTTGGTAGTCTTTATATGTGTTGACATTATAAATCAACTGAAAGAACTGCTACAGAATAAAGTCACATATCAAATATATTGCTTAATCTGAGAACAATTTTACAAATAAAACACCATTAAAGGTACAAACACAAGAAAACAAACGAATAGGGTTATTATACCATATGACCTTTTAATACTGGTATTAGTGTTGCGAATGATTTAAACGAATTCAATGAAATTAAACTCCATAGCCCTCCACAAGACTAATGATCCGTGGCTCTACAAAGCCAAAACTATATATAAATCCATGTAACGAACGAAACCTTTAAGCAAGTGCACTACTCGTGTGTTGGTAAGTAAGTAACAACGAACCTCTTCTTCTTCTTTCTAATTCGCCACATCGGCTTCTTTCTTGTTCTCTTTGCTGTACTCTTCCATCTCATTAAGCCAGAGATCCGCAAACTCGCAATCTTTCCAAGCATCAAACCAAGGTCCTCCTCGAGTATAGTGCACCGCTTTAGGCTGCGTGGTTGGATCTTTCTCGACAACCCTATTGTGACCTTCAAGGAAGTTCCACACAAATGGGATAGACCCAATCTCTTCATCCTCAAGCCACTGGAACCTATGAAGAAACGCACCAGTCTGAGTATTAACAATCTCAGGGTTCAAAGTCTTGTTCTTAGGATGTCCACAATTGTAAAGCACCATAGAAGACCAGTTCTTCCTCGGGTAGACGGTTTGAACCGCACCATCCATCTTAGTAGTCTCCTTAGGAGTATAATCATGCTGAACACACATGATAGCGTACTTATCATCGATCAAATCAGTGAGTTCCTTGATATCAGCAAGGTAGAGGAAATCGCAATCGACAAACATAGCCCAACCATCGTAATCAGACAAGTGAGGAGTCAAGAAACGAGAGAAAGAGAACTCAGTGCTCTCTAACTGACCTCTTTCTCTCCAATACAAACCTTTCTTTCTAAGATCTGATTGAACAATTGGTATGATCTCTACAGGGATTGAAGATCTTTTGGTGATTGAATGACGACAGACTTGGTAAGCAAGATCTTCGCGTGGATCGTAACCAACAAAGATCCTGAAAGGTTTCTTCTCAGAAAATCCATTGTTGCAGGTTTCAGATTTGACATCTCCGTTTGTAATTGTCATCGTTGTTGCAGAGATATTTCAACACTCACTCGGATCTGTCACTGCAAAATAGTTTAGATCTCTAATCATTTTCATTGCTATAAACTTTTTTTTTTGTTTTCTCAAAAATCACAGAATCGTGATGAATGAAGCAGCCATGGATTCGAGTAAAGCAGATATAACCACAACAACATTTTCCAGGAAAATTGAGAGAGTAAAAGATCTATATCATCACATTATGCTAAGAAATTATGAGAAAACCACAGAATCTTTTGATAAAGCAAGATATATATAATCAGATTGTGCTAAGAAATTTTGAGAAAATCGCAGAATCGTGTGATGAAGCAAGATCTATATCATCACATTATGCTAAGAAATTTTGAGATATTCGCAGAATCGTTATGAAACAAGATCATATCATAATCCAGCAGATCAATTCAATACTAGAAACACAAATTGAAGCATCTTCAGATGAATGTAGCAGCCATCAGATTCCAGGAAATTGAGAAATCACAATTCGCTAAGTAATTTTGAGAAAAAAAACACAGAAGCCATGGATTCGAGTAAAACAGATGAATCTACGACGAAGCAAGATCTATATATATCATAACATTACGCTAAGATTTTTTTGAGAAATTCGCAAAATTGTAATGAAGTAAGCAAGATCATATCAAAATGCAGCAGATCAAGTGATACCTAGAAACAAAAACTGAAGCAACTTCTGATGAATGTAGCAGCCATGGAAATTGAGAAAAATCAATTTTGAGAAAAATCACAGAATCGTGATGAAGCAAGAACTATATCATCACATTATGCTAAAAAAATTTGAGAAAAATTTGGAGATGAAACAAGATCATATCAAAATGGAGCAGATCGATTGGTATCTAGAAACAAAAACTGAGAAATCACAAGCAATTTCGAGTAAAGCGGAGAGAGGAATCGAGGAAGAACAGAGCGTACGTTGAGGTAGATGATAGATCTTGGGAGATGAAAAAAAAAGCTTGGAGCACCGACAGAAATGGAGATTTGTTTTGTGGACTTAAATGTGGAAAAAGAAGAGAGAAAGATTGGAGCGAGAAAAAAGGAGAGGAGAGGAGAGTGATGAAGATGATTCATTGATTTTAGAAATTGTTATAAATAAATAAATAAAAAGGAGAGGTTCTGAGTTGACTCGCGTGTTGACTCAGCGTCGGCGTGAGTTTTATGCGTTGCTGGTTTCCTTTCCCATGTGCTCGTCCCTCGCCTACACGCTTTTTGTTCTTCTAATTTTAGTTAAGTTTTTTTGTTTAAAACGAAATTTTTTAATTAGGATAAATTGGCTCAATATTCATTTTCAAAAAAACTACAGTTAAAACCTCTACAAATTAATAATCTTTATAAGTTAATAAATTTTTCGGGTCCAATTTCGAATCAGTGTAATTTTAGACACATTTCGATAAAATAATAAAATAATGTTTTTAAAAAATTTTTTTTGTAAATATGTAGTCCTAAAAATAATACAAATTGATAATTATATAAAATTATTGATAGATATCTATTATAAGATTTAGTAAAACATACTATTGTATTTTTATTCACTCTCAAATTTACATTAAATTTTGTTAGGATTCAATTCTAGTAGATTATATGTATCAAAATTTTATAGTGTTTCATTCATTCATGATAATTTTTGTAATTGATTCTAACAAAATATTGATTATAGTGATTAAATCATATTTTGATGTATATATTTTTTTAAACTTACCAAATTAATAAAATATCTCTATAAATTAATTATTAATTTATAGAATATTTTGGTCCCAAAATTATTAAATTATAGAGGTTTTACTGTATAAAGAATATAGCACTATAACATGAGAAATTAAAGGTATAACCATCTTACTATGTAAAAAAACCATATAGGATAAGCGTGAAAGACACTCAATTTACAAACTATCCTTAGATGTGTTGCCTGACCGGCTGACCCGTTACTGATCTCTACCATGCTCAAGCTTCTGCTAACATACTACGCAGTCTGATCCCATTCCAAACAATCTACTTACCCAGATCTAACACCTCACTTCTAGCTCCGGCTCGTATGTTCTCTCACCCTCTTTCAAATATTATTTAATCTCCTAAATTCTCTAGCATAAAAAGAAAGGTTTTTTTAAAGTTCCCTATGTTGCATATATACCTTTATTATTTATTTCTCCCATATAGCTTATGATAGATGTCACTGAGATAGACCTTTAAAGCGTTTCTTGAAGCCAAGGAAGGAATCTCAGCTGAAGAAGAACATATCTACTTTGGTGGAAAGTGTTGGGAATGTCCTGAAATCATTTGTACTTACTCTAGTTCAAGTTGTAATAAGTACAAGTTGTACGCTGAGGTTTGAATGTAAATAATAGTAGATGGTTATAATGTTTTGCTAGAAGCCTCTTATGATCAAGGACTTTAGAAGTTCATTACTAATATTATTCGATCTTACAGGGTCACACACCTAAGCAAACTAGAACAATAATATGTTTGGTTTAATTATAATATATTATATATGTCATATAAGATATAGGGAAAATTACCCACTCTACCATCTTTTCAGAAAAGGTTTTCGAAAATAACATTTCTAACACCCCTTACCGCAAATACCATTTCCGTTTTTTTTTAACCTTTTTACCCCTTATCCAGCTTCTGCAGAAAACACAGACATGAGACCGTGGACATGCACATATATTCGAAAAAATTATAAAACTTTATGACTAAATTCAAAATATCAGCTACGATTAAATAAAAGGAGTTAAACAAAAAAAAATATTGTAGATCAAAAGAAAAATATAAACCTTTCCTCTTCCTATTTACCCTAGCCGTAACTGTAACTATCTCCCCTTTTCCTTTAACACCATTCTTTTCTTTTCTTGTTCACCACCTCTTCGATAGCGACCGACTTGGTAACGTTTCAATGATTATCTACTACAATCGTGTTCAAATTTTTTGCCTTATCTAAATAGATGTACATAATAAGTTCCTGTTGTCCACACATATAGGTTCACACATGGAAGAATCTGAAGAAAGCGCCCAGTCAACCCGTGAATCTCGCATCTTCGGCATGTTGTCGAGCTCCCTCCATACTACTTGGCATACGGTGGGCGATTGTTAGATTACAAAGCCGAACATCAGATCTACGATTAGCTAAGCATTTTCTCTTCTCATTTCAGCCGTCGGTTAAGGAAAGTGGTCAATCCTCTAACCCATCTCCTCTAAATGCTACGAAGACCAACCGTAGACAATCGGTTAGTATTTGTTAAAAGAATCAATTTTTGAAACCACTATTTGCTCCACCAGTAACAACCATATCAATCTTATACCACGCCTAACGTCGACCACCCAAACTGGAAACCAAACTCCCCTCCGAAGAAGTACAAGAGCGGGGAACATCAGTTCCACACCCGAGCAGATTATTTTCCTGTCCACGGATTATTTCTTACTCAAAACCAGAATATATGCTGGACATTGTCGATGTCCTTGATGGTACGCAGGAGCTAAAAGCTATATAAGAATCCCCAAATGAAATATTTGCTATAAGGTTATGTCCATACACTAAAACCTTGTCTATGTGTCAGAATTCATTTTTTGGTCCATACACGTTTATCATTTAGGTCGTTTATTTCTCAAATATTTTCTTCATAATGTCTACGACATCACTGGTAAGTGTTCTTTACAAGTTGTTGAATATCTCTCATAAACATTAAATGTTATGTCACGAGCTGTGAGTAAATTGCTTCCCACCAAACAACAACCCAATAATTAATGAACTTTCAATCCAATATCCATATATATATGTAACATGGGATGCATAGTATGTACCTAGCAGAAAAAACAAAATGACAAATCTCCTTGACCTACCACATCATATTGCAATTTTCATTGTCACACTTGTTGCTAAATCCGGTTTCGAGAAGTTAGCACTTCTCATTGCATCTGGTTCAGAAGGATGTGCTCTTGCTTTTAATGAGTTGGTATTGAGGGAAGCTTCTCTTCATCTTATTGAAAAGCAGCCAGGAGTGATCAAAACAAATTCAATATTTCGTCCATTTTTTGGTAGGACCATAAAAACCAGGAACCCTACATCAATGTACCTAGAGGGCGTTAGAGACGTTGGAAAATACGGGGACTACAGAGATGCCATTCCCATGTTTGCTTACAAGTAGAGTAACATATTCTGGAAGGAGAAGCTCTCGATGGCAATGAGTTTCATGCTCACACTTTTGGTGTTATGTGTAGGTGAGACGGAAGAGGGGATTACTTTAATGACGGAGTTCCGTACTTTTTTAGAAGAAGAAGACAAAGGAGATGTTGTTGCCAAACATGTGTTCTATGATTTTATACGGTTGAGTTCTCAATCCACGATTCAAGGGAGTTCTATGATTGCTAAATTTAAGAGAAATATTCCTACAATAGAGTTTGATGTATGCGAGGAATGCACCAAAGTCATAAAATGTCCCACTTGCTACACATTTTGGCGTTGCCAAAGGTTTAGGGAATTATTCGGTATCCCATGACAAATGTCATTCAATAATCAACGGTAAATTATTATGTCGACGGACGCCGTTTTCAATTATGTATCTATGTTGCCCAGTTTAGTATGTCTTCGGAAATAATGGTATTCTGCTTTCCATACCAAACATTATGCTTTCTAAGTTTATTATATTTTATATTTCCGTGTATTTGTAATTCTGAAGAATTATATGTCTTTTGCCCAATATCATCTTTTAATGACAATGGACAATGTCTAGTTAGGTAATTTATCATGAACTATAGTAGTTACTTAAGATATGGAGATCTTATAAAATATCAACGTCTAACAACTGACTATTAAAGCAGTCCACATCCGCGGAAAAAAACAACATTACGTCAAACAAGTGACTATTAAACTAGTCCACATCCGGAAAAAGACATTACGTCAAAATGAGCCTTATTTTATAGAGGAAATGCATCCATAATAAGTGCTAAACTTTCAGCACAACTTGGGAATGGAAATTCAAACTCTAGTTTGCATGTAACAGAGATAAAACACTTAGATAACTGCTGCTTTGAATATAGTCGAAAATGACTCTTTCATTTGATGTTTTGGGCTGAAAATACTCCAATTAAGATCCATTTTTCTTAAATCCAAGCCCATGAAGTCTCAACCATTTTTAAGATGTTTCGCTTCCACATTCAGATTTGATGACCTCATCTATTTGGTTCAAACATCTGAACCAAAGTGTGCCTATATATAACATTAATACTAAAAGGTTTAAGTCTAGCGACTCGAATCCTACTTTTCTCTTGCATAGTCGTTTGGGCTCTATAAATAAGAAACACATTCAAAAGCTTCATAGTGATGGACTAATGAACTCATTTGATTATGAATCATATGAAAAAATGTGAATCTTACTTATTGGGTAAAATGACTAAGGCTCCTTTTACTGGACACAGTGAGAGAGCTAGTGACTTATTGGGCCCTGTACATACAGATGTATGTGGACTGATGAGCTTAAGTGTAAGAGGAAACTGAGTAGAAATGGTTATGTTTATCTAATGAAACATAAATCTGAATCTTTTGAAAAGTTCAAAGAATTTCAGAATAAAGTAAAAAATCAACTTGACAAAACAATTAAAGCTCTTTGATCAGATCGTGGAGGAGAATATTTGATCCAAGTTTTCAGTGATCATCTTAGCGAATGTGGAATTGTTTCAGAACTACCTCCTCGACGAACATCTCAATGGAATGGTGTGCCTGAAAGGAACAATCGAACTTTATTAGATATGGTTCGGTCAATGATGAGTCACACAGATCTTCCATTATCCTTTTCGGGATATGCTTTAGAAACGTTTGGGTTTACGCTAAACATATGTCCATCAAAATTGAAAGACACCATATCAGATTTGGACTGGAAATGTTCATAATGTGTCTTTTCTGAAAATTTGGGGTTGTGAAGCTTATGTCAAACGTTTAATTACTAGGAAGCTTGGAACCAAATCTGATAAGTGCTACTTCGTTGGTTATCCTAAGGAAACCAAAGGTTATTACTTTTAAAACCCTACCGAGAACAAAATGTTCATAGCTCGGATTTTGGTCTTCTTAGAAAGAGAATTTCTTTCTAAAACTAACAGTGGAAGTAAGGTACAACACGAAGAAGTTCGAGAACCACTGGAGATTGCTCCAATTATTCAAGAAGAGCATTAGTTAGATTTATGAAGAGTCGTAGAATCTATCCTATGTAACCTGAGGTGCGTAGGTCGGAAAGGACATGTCACTAACCTAACAGATATGGGGTTTGGGTGATGAATCATCATGATCGATTGATTATAGAGAATGATGAACCTACTTCCTACGAAGAAGCGATGATGGGCCCTGACTCCGATAAGTGGTTAGAGGCTGCTGAATACGAAATGGATTCCATGTCGCAAAACAAAGTTTGGACTTTGGTTGATTTACCTGATGGTGTAAAAGCCATTGAATGTAAATGGATTTTCAAGACGAAAATTGACATGGATGGTAATATACGGATATACAAAGCTAGACTGGTAGCTAAAGGTTACAAACAAATTCATGGTATTGATTGTAACGCCCGTGTCCCGTTTTGGGGGGTGTCGATCGACACCACTGATGGGTGTCGCTCGACACCAGCATGTTTTGGTTTGATCGGTTCGTTTTTAATTGCAAAATCATGTAATTATTGGTTGGTTTAACCTAAGTTGCGTTTAAAAGAGGAAAAGGTCGACCTAGGGTGAGGGTAGCCGCTTTTGTTTCTTCTCTAAAGTTTCTAAGTTCTCTAGAGAGGTTTTGTGAGGTTTGAGAGTGTTTGGAGGCTTGTTCTTGGTGTTTCTGTCCTGGGGAAGAGAGATCTCGTAGCTGTGGTGTTAGGAGAGTCCTTGATTGCTGTTGTTGTGCTCTGTTCGTCCTTGTTTCAGTCCTTTTGAAAGGTGAGTGCATGACTAGGCTGATCTAAGCGGTTTTGATGCATGTTTTGAGTGTTGCCTCTGATTGATGATTGATTTCTGTGTTTGTATGCTTGTTTATGTGGTATGGTGTCTGGGTACGAGCTTGGGGAGGTGATAGATCGGGCATGGAGTGCTGGAGTTGGTGGATCCGTCGATGAGAAATGGCTGGGGCGATGTTAGGGTTTCAGTGTCGCTCGACACCAATGGAGGGTGTCGATCGACACCAACTTTCTTTCTCGCGAGGATGGTCGCGAGTGTCGAGCGACACCAGCGGATGGTGTCGATCGACACTACTCGTTAGAACGGGTCACGTTGTGTTGTTTTGTGTTATTTTGGTGGTTGTTTGAGGTAATACTTGGATGTGTTCATTTCTGCTTGTGTGTATAGCCAGTGGTGGGATGATTGTCTCACTAAGTATTTATGAAATACTTATGCATCTCTTTCTTTGATGTAGGTAAAAGCAAAGTGTGATCCGTGGAATCATGCCAAGGAGATGAGGATGATCTAGGCGCTCATTGGTGTTTAGATTATTGTAGGATTTGTTAGGATGTTAGAATGGAATTTATAAGCATGTTAGGATGACTTTGTTTCTGGAATAATGATAGTTGATCTTGTTGGTTTAATGGAATTGTTTGGTTGGATTTTTACTTAAGTCTTCCGCTGGTTACGTTGATTGGTTGTGTTAGTGAGATTGTCTTGTTTGCTTTAAATGGGTTAATCCGGTTTGTATGTTTAAAAGAAAAAAAAATGGGATGGGTTCTTTCATTGACTATGGTGAAACCTAATTTCAAGTCGCAAGGTTTAAATCTATTTGGATTCTCCTAGAAATTGCCTCTTATTATGATTATGAGATTTGGCAAATGGATGTGAAAATAGCTTTCCTTAATGGAAATCTCGAAGAGGATACATCCATGACACAACCTGAAGGTTTCATACATCCTGAAAATGCTTGGAAAGTATGCAAACTTCAACGCTCCATTTATGGATTGAAGCAAGCATCTCGAAATTGGAATCTTCGTTCTAACGAGGCAATCAAAGAGTTTGATTTCATTAGAAATGAAGAAGAACCTTTCGTTTACAATAAGATTAGTGGGAGCGCAGTTGCATTTCTGATATTGTATGTAGATGACATACTACTTATTTGAAATGACATCCCTATCCTTCAGTCTGTTTAAACTTGGCTAGGGAATTGCTTTTCAATGAAAGACATGGGTGATGAATCATGGGTGATGGATAAGGTCTTGCACATGTTCAATATGCACAATTCTAAGAAAGACTTTATATATACATTACAAGAAAACATGCATTTAATGACTACAGCTAGCGACTAAATAATTAGTCGCCAAACTTAGTGACTATATACCTACTATCTATATGATGGAGGGTAATTACAATTAAGGTGGTAATGGTGGTAATTATCGGGAGTGGATGTAGAAGAGATTCGATGAATTTACGGGGAATTTCTCAGCAGAATTTGAAGCGGGGGTGGAGCAATTCTTGACGTTTGCTAATAGCCAGCCTATAGTACAAAGTAACGGGGGTAAGTTTTAATGCCCTTGTAGTGGTTTCAAGAATGATAAATTTATCTCGGGTAGAAGGGTTATGAGTCATTTGTTTAGTAAAGGATTTATGCCAGATTATTATGTTAGGTATAAGTATGGAGAAGAAATAAATATGGATATAGGAACGAGTTATACTGATTGGATGTATATAAGTGAGAGTCATGAAGAAGTGGGTAATGTAGTAGAAGATCCATGTGTGGATATGGTGAATGATGGATTTCGTTATAACGTAGGTAATTTTGATGATAACTATCATTATGATGGTAGTTATCAGAATGTTCAAGAACCAGTACGTAACCATTCAAAGAAGTTTAATGACTTGTTAGAAGGTGCAAAAAATCCATTATATGATGGTTGTCATGAAGGTCACTCAAAGTTATCCTTAGCTGCCCGAGTCATGCAAAACAAGGCGGAGCATAATATGAGGGAAAAGTTTGTGGATTCGGTTTGCCAAATTTTAACGGATTATTTACCAGAAGGAAACAAGTCAACCGTTTCAGATTACGGGACAGAAAAGTTGATGCGCAATTTAGGCCTCCCCTATCATAGAATTGATGTTTGTATTAACAATTGTATGATTTATTTTTGTAAAAGTACAGTATGTGTGTTGTTTGATATGTAATTAAAGTATCTCAAAGATCAGATTTTAAGATCTTGTAAACTGATGACAAAGCAATGCTGGTTATCAAGAAAGGGTTGAAGATACAACATGGGTATAATCTTATGCCATGGCTGGTTCCAAGAGAACACATGTTTTCTATTTATTTTGAAATCATGGCACTCTTACAATCAAATTATGGTTTCAGTTTTAATCTTTGTGTTTGTGATTTTTTTGGTTTCAGGTTTTAATGGATAAGTCATGGATAAACAAACCACGTTTATCTCAAGATTATAGATTAGGGGTGAAAAAATTTCTTGGAGTTTGCATTTGGTAGATTGAATGCAGTCATGATGAAATGTCCATGTAACCAATATTGTCTAACCAAATCTAAGTCAAGAGAAGATATTGAAGGTGATTTAATATGCTATGGCTTTTTAAGTTCTCACACAAATTGGGTACTACATGGAGACAAAGTTTACGTCACAGAAAGTACAAGAGTACATGCGGATACTGCTCAAGTTGAATTGGATTCAACTATGAATCTGTTGGATGATCTCTTTCCTGGTATCGATACTAATATGTATGCTGAAAACGAATCTTGATCGTGCGAGCAGCCTGTGCACACTGATAGACCATCAACTTCAAGTGGAAATTTAGGAAAAGAAGAAAATTTTGATGAGCTGCTTGCTGATTTTAATCAAGATCTATATGATGGATGCACCAAGTTCACAAAGTTGTCTTATATATTGGAAATTATACCATATCAAGTGTATGTGTGGGATAAGTGACAAGGGAATATCTATGGTGCTTGATTTGCTGAAAGAAGCATTTATACATGCCAAGTTTTCAAGTTCATTTATGACATGAAGAAAGTTATTCATAAATTAGGATTGAGTTACGAGTCAATTCATGCATGTCCAAATGATTGCATGTTATTTTTGGAGGCATATGCAGAAAGGGAGACTTGTAAAGTTTGTAAAATTTCTCGTTGGAAACAAAATTTATCTGCAGAGGGTACGGTATCTGGATCAGATAACAAAAAAAAACAAAACTTCTGCAAAAGTTTTGCGTTATTTTCCTTTAAAGCCGAAACTGCAACGCTTATTCATGTCATCGAAAACTGCTACTCACATGAGATGGCATGCAACTGCTACTAACAATGATGGCAAGCTTCGACATCCAAGACACGGAGACGCTTGGAAAGCATTTGATCAGAAATATCGAGAATGAACAAACACTAGTAATTATTCAAACTAAAAAAATATCTTTTATTCTTCATTTAAAGTAATATGGCACGTAAATTCTAAGCATATCTCTTAAGACTTTTAGAGTTTCTTCATCAAGATGATCATCATCGGCATGATAAAAACTCTTTTCGTTTATATCAAATTCATGTTGAATTTTTTTGGCTTTTTCCATTTCTTGAAAAACTCCATCTCTGGGTTGAAACTCTTCTCCATCTTCATAAACATAGATTTTGTTCAAATCAAATCTATGTTAAAAAAAATTTGGTTTCTCTATTTCTTGTACAACTCCATGGTGAAACTCTTCTCCATCTTCATAAATATACCGTTTGCTCAAATCAAATCTATGTTGAACTTTTTTCTTTGGCTCCAAGTCTAGAACTACTTCTAAATCGTCGGCTTTTTTATTTTTTTTTCAACTGAATTGTTTCTTTCTCCATTTTACTATATACACAAAATAACCAAATATTAATATTAAAATAGATTACATAGTTAAGGATAATTTAATTAAAATTTACATATTTTAAGAATTTTCTGAAAGAGGTGGAATTACAAAAAACTGAAGAAATCAAATAATCGAGGAAATACCTTGAAAGTGGAGCTTCACAAGTAGGATGAAGCTTACCTTAAGAGAGTTGAAGTTTTTGAGAGAGTTGAAGATCGAGAGAGAGATAGAGATCTTCTTTATTTTTGTAAAATGTATCGAAAGAGTTTATCTTTCTCAAATGGTTTGATTTATTAAACAAACAAACTTAACATTTCCTTAAATATAGGACGAAGATTTATTCAATGTAGAATAATTTAGTTTTATTTAATTTGTATTTATTCCTTTTTAATTATCGATCTTCTAACTTTGTATAGGTTTTTTAATCTTTGAAACTTTCAGAGTTTGTATTGCTAACTAGTTTATACGTTTTTCCTTATTTTAGGATTGATAATAGATTTTATGGATTCACATCAGACACAACCACCTGAAAATTTACCACAATTCAAAACAGATCACAATATCTCTCCTCCTCTGGCTCCAGAATGTAAACGCTTCAAATAGAAAATACAGCTCATAGGTAATTTTTTTGAATTAGATTATAGAAAGTTATTATCTAATTAAATTTTTCATAAGCTGCTTTTAAACTAATCCACGAAGATGATACGTTACCTGATACGTAACGTTCCAGTCCTTTGTTTGTTTCGCAGCATTGTAATATCCTTTATTGCTTAATCACGTACTGTTTTGTTAAATTATCCCATCTCAAAAATATTTATCATTAAAATTATTCTTATTTTAAGCACTGAAAATATTAAAATGATACGTCATATTTGTGATGCTGAAAGTCATTATTACATCATATGATTGTTGAGATGAGCATAAGAGGAATACTCCATTTTTATATTATATTGACTTGAGCATAAGAAGCATAATCGATGAGATTTCATGAATATAATCGATAGTCAAGCAATCATGTTTGTGTGATTATAATACGGATTATCCATGATTAGTCATACTTGTCTCCTCACATCATATATTCATGAGTAATCATACTTGTAGAGCCGAAAATTTATTATATTTCTTCTTATATATTAATTTACTAATCAAATTTGTTTCATATATATATATATATATATATATATGTTTCATCAACAAGACAATACAGATGGAAACATAGAAGACAAAACGTTTACATCTAAAGATGTATGGAAATTGAAAAACAGCAAAGTGATAGTGGAATTCGACCTAGCAACGGACAACCAATTGAAGGTTCTAGAGGTTTACTTGGATCATGGTTAGGTCAATTAAGCAAAGATATAAATCTGATACCCATGGTATAGTTTATTCGTTAAATATTTATATGTAGTTGGATTATTCATGAAAATAATTTTATTTTAATATGTGAGTTTTCAGAAAATGCAAGAACGGAATACAAAGAACCAAAAAGAAAAAAATACTACGCCTCACTTATGTGGAAGAAAGAGCTTTCCAAGGAGAAGAAATGAGATTGTGAGTAATTTAGTTGTCATATAAGACTAATTTCTTATACTGATATTGTATATTGTTTATCTTTACATGTGTATCTTTAACGTAGAAAATCAAGATTGGAAAAACACCAAATCGAGCAGAATTATTTATTGACACTCGTATGAAACTTGATGGAAGCTTTGTAAGTGAGGAAGCGAAAACACGCGCGGTTAGTTTTCTTTGAAATTAGTATTCATGTAGATGTAGTTATGTGGATTTACTAGTTAAATAAGTTTAATATTTATCATTTGTTTTGTTTTTTTAGGAAGCACTTACATCGCTGCTCATTCAAAGTCCGCATGTCGCAACCAATGTTATAGCTAGTTTGGATGATGAATATGCTCAAGTATTTGGTCTCAAGCGTCCAGGACGAGTACGTTGTCTTGGTCATGGACCCACACCTTCAAAATTAGTAAGACATTCAACTGGGACTAGAGCAGATATAGAAAATTCAGAGATGGTTGTTCAGCTTAAGAGCATCTCCAACCCACCTCTATTTTTGCCTCTAAACTCTATTTTGTAGCAATTTTTGCTCCAACCCACCTCTATATCCATCTCTATGATAGAGATTGCTAATTTTATCTCTCTATATAGAGGAACTCTATTTTTTCCTCTATAAATAGAGGTGAACTATTTTATTGCAAAATAGTCCTTTAATCTTAAATTTCTTTTATTTATGAACAAAATAAATAAAATAAATATATTTAATAGCTAATAATATAAAATATTATTAGAGGTTTTAATATAAATATATATTCTAAAATTTGAGACTACCATTTGCAAAAGTAAATTATATAAAATCTTATATATATATATATATATATATATAATAATATATTTTATTTTTATTGAAGGAAAAAAGAGATTTTATTTTACCTTATTATATATGATAATAGAATAGAATCTAGTATCTTATTGTTTTTTATATAATTCGATGTACTTTTAAATAAAATTATATATAATATGATGTTTTTATAATAAATGTTTAATTTAAATAAAAGTAACTATTTTATTAAAATTTTATAAAAGTTGAAGTAAATGGTTTAATTTGCAAATTTTATAAATAGATGGTGTTAATATTAAATTTTAAAAAGAATCTATTTGGAATATTCTATTATAGAGGAGAAAATAGAGGAAACTATTGGAGCAAAAGTCACCTCTATTATAGAGTTACTCTATTATAGAGGCAAAAATAGCAAAAACCATTGGAGATGGTCTAAGACAGAAGTGAACGAGTTAGGAGCTCAAGTAAAGGCAATGAGTACGTTCATCCGACAAATACTTGGTACTTCAACCCGTGACCAGGTATTTATAAAATAATAATAAATAAATTATATTGTATGATTATAACTTGATCATATAAAATAACTATACTAACAAAATTTTCAGGCAAATACATGGGCTGCAAGTTTTGCAACAGCTTTTTCAATCATACCAAATCTAGCATTTGCAAACATATCAAATATGGCTCCTCAGGTAAATGGTTTTTACATATTAATATGATAGATACCAAATATTAGATGATAAACTAATCTGCTATATATATTTTTTTATGTAGGAAAATGATGATGGTGCTAATGGAAGAAGCTAGTCATGATCAACATTAGTTTATCAAAATTTCTTTGCTACTTTCGTTTATTGATATTTCATGCATTTGCAATACTTTTTAGGATAATTTATGTAATTTGCTTTCTAGGATATTAATTATTAATTTAAATATCATTTTTATTTTTTAATTATTTCATTTGAATTTGTTATTCCATAAATTAATATTTTCAACAAAATTTGGAAAAGCGTTGATATATTAGAATCAATTAACAAATGATATAAAATAAGTTCTCGTTGCTATATATAAGTGACATAATTTAGAATCATTTATTGAAACTGGCGTAAATATAACACCAAATACAAACAATTGATGTTAATATTTTAATTCAAATATTTTAAATATATCAACTTTTTAAAAATGAAACTATTTCTAAATCAGTTATTAAAAATGATATAACTGTTATAATCACTTTTCAAAATTGATACTAATTTTAACATCATTTAATCATATGTGATATAAATAATTGACATCAATAAGTATAATCAACACAAATCACAGTATCACTTTTACAAATTGATGCGAAAGGTAGTATCATTTTTTTGTAACTGACACATTATTAATATCGATTAAAAAAACTGATGCAAAATAAAAAATATTGCATCAATTATTAAGAAATGATGTTAATTATTTGCATCGACAAATTAAGAATCATTGTTTCAAGTGATACAAAATGCCTTTACATCACTTATAAGTAATACAAAAATACAAAATAATTGATTCAATAGACTCATTTTTTTTGTAGTGGTTGAATCATCCTTCAGATGCGGCAGAGTGGAGAAATTTCCAAGAGCTAAATCCTTGATTTTCTGAAGAACCCCGTAACGTTTATCTTGGATTATTTACTAATGGGTTCAATCCATTTGGCATGTCTCGTAATCATTTGTTGTGGCATGTGATCTTGACTCCGTATAATTTACCCCTAGGTATGTGCATGAAAGAAGAGTATTTGTTTCTTACAATTTTGAATTATGGGCCACATCATCCGCGAGCTAGTCTCGATATCTTCCTTTGGCCTCTTATTGAGGAGTTAAAAGAGTTGTGGTCTACTGGATTCAATGCGTACGATGTGTCTTTGAATCAAAATTTTAATCTAAAGGCTACGTTGATGTGGACGATAAGCGACTTTCCGACATATTGCATGTTATCAGGATGGACCACACACGGTAAATTATCTTGTCCTATTTGTATGGAAAGTACCAAGTCTTTTTGTCTACCTAATGGAAGGAAGACGTCTTGGTTTGATTGCCACCGAAAATTTCTTCCTCATGGTCATCCATTAAGAAGGAACAAAAAAGACTTCTTTACAGGAAGAGACGCTTCTAACGAGTATCCACCTCCGTCTTTAACCGGTGAGCAAGTTTTTTACGAGCGGTTGGATTGTGCAAATCCACCAAGAACCAAGGACGTTAGTGATAATGGTCATGAAAAGAAGATGCATGGCTATGGGAAGGAACATAACTAGCACAAGGAAAGCATATTATGGGAGTTGTCTTACTGGAGGGATTTGAATCTTTGACATAATATTGATGTCATGCATACAGAGAAGAACTTTTTGGATAACATCATGAATACTTTTATGAGTGTGAAAGGTAAATCAAAAGACAACATCATGTCAAGATTGGATATTGCATAATTCTGTTCTCGGCCACACCTACATCTTAGTAATAAGGATGAAGCTCCATTCCTAGTTTATAATTTGACAGAAGAAGCGAAAATAAGCTTATTGGAGTGTGTGAAACATGCGGTCAAATTTCCAGATGGTTATTCGTCGGACTTGGCAAGTTGTGTTGATATGGAAAATGGCAAGTTTTCAGGCATGAAAAATGGAAAACTCACGTGTTTTCAATATCTTATTGATACATCATTTAGCATATTTAATTGTTATTATTAATTTTAGTTTATTAAAAATAATTAATTTAAAACGAAAATGCAAATTTAAAGTAAACATAAAGAAGTCTGAAAATGAATTACAAAACTAGTCCACCGTGAAAATACATAAAACATAAATAAATTAAAGTTGCTAAAATATTTTGACAAACATATCTTGATCATGATCAATGATGACTAAGCATTCGGTTTAACTCTTTTGCATCTAGCATTTATCATTGGCACCATCATTCATTTCCTGGAAAAAAATTATTCAATACATTAGTTAATTATCTAAATATCTTTATCTAAGAGACTTAGGCTGTGATTGGCGACATGAAAAAAGCGGGACGTTTCTAAGAAAACAGAAAAACGCAATAACTACACCAAACAACTTATTTATATTGATTTGCGGGTTTCTAAAAAAAAATGAAAACGCTTTTAGTTTTTGTTATGTCTACTGAAACAAAAAATGCACAATAAAATAAATACTGTCCATATATGGTGCCAGACACCCTAAAATCCACTTTTTCATATGTTTTAATTAATAAAAATAATATAATTAAACAATATACAAGAATTAAATAATTTAATGATTGTCTAAATTTTTATAAAATGAAGGTTTGTGATAATCATAATATCACTTTATGTAAAAAAGAATGTAAAAAAAAATTATTAACAAAGTACTTAAAATTTTACCATTATATTTATTATTATGAAAATACGTATTATAATAAAAAAAATATGAACCTCTATATACTTGTAAATTTATAAAACAAATTTTATTAATATAAAATAAATAAATAATATATTATTATACTAATTATAAATACTAATATGAAATCCACACCGCAAATATATTTTTACCAATCAAACATAATTTTGTACCGCTTATTTTACATCAACCGCACTTGTCTCGCAAATACATTTGTTCCGCACGTACCGTAGTTGAACCGTACCGCACTATCAATTTTTTTGTCCCGCTCAACCAAATCCACGGTTACCATTCGGACCCTTATATAAGTAATTTTTACCCGAGGATTCTTCATATTTGGAATGTTAAAAAATGCTGGATTTGGTATGTTCGCAAAAGCTGCTGCAAAATTTGCAGCCCATACACTTGCTTGAATATTTAACATAAAACATTAGTTATATATATATATCCAATTTATATACAACTTGGATTCAATGATATGTACAACTTGGTTAGAATAGTACAACATGTGAGAATTCGATATAACTAGTTTATATGTGTCCTCAACTGCATGACCGTTTCAGAATTTTCTATTGTGTCCTCAACTGCATGACCGTTTCAGAATTTTCTATTTCTTGTCTTGTTGCAGTAGAGCGTTTCACCAATTTTGATGGTGTGGGTCCATGACCAACACAACGTACTCGTCCTGGATGTTCTGGTCCAAACACTTGAGCATACTCATCATCCTTTCTAGCTGGAACATTGCTCGTGACTTGAGGATTTTGCTCCATCAACGTTGTAAGTGCATTCCAAAAGGGAAACAAGGATAAATATTCAACATAGTTAACTAATAGATCCAACAAACGACAATGCATTCCAAAAGGTATTGATCAAAATTCAAAGTTATTATAATAAAACTAACCGCACGTGTTTTTGCCTCCTCACACACAAAGCCTCCATCAGGTTTCTTGCGAGTCTCAGTGAAAAACTCTGCTCGACACGGCGTTTTTCGATCTTGACTTTTTACAGTAAAGATACACGCATAAACAATGTACACAAAATATAATAGACTAGGTTTATATCATGCTAAAGTTACTCACAATCTCATTTCTTTTACTTGAAAAACTCTTTCTTCCGCACAAGTGAGGCATGGTATTGTTTCTTTGGTTCTTTGTATTCCGCTCTTGCATTTTCTGAAAGCTTATATATGAAAAGAAATCACTTGCATTTGATATAGAGATAAGAGAAGAACATACAAATATATATAGAAAACTATACCTTCCACTTTTCGGTAAACCTCTTGTGAACGAAATGATACCATTGATTTTTAGGAATGTTTTCGGGTCTTTTCTGCAACATCTCATTCAAATCATTTCTTTTGTGTTCTCTCCAAATATGTAATTTGATATCCTTGCATCGGCTACCTAGTGCACTCATTACATATTCTTTTCTCATCATAGGATCATCAAAACTGAAATTGGACTGACATGACATAACATGAAACGAGTCATCAACCAAAATTTAGTATTAAAACATCACATGATTTAAAAAATTTACAAATAAATAAATGTTAGATGTTTACCTGGATCAATTCCCATGCTTTTTCTTTTATAACAGGATTAACCAACCTCCAATCAGTGTAGTCAATCGGTAGCAATCGCACATCGGTACTTAACTGACCTAACCATGATCCAAGTGAACCTCCAGAATCTCCAGTTGGTTGACTGGTATCATCATCGAAATGCACAATAACTTGGTTGTCTTGCAATTTTCAGACATCTTAGATGTCATTAGTTTACCTTCTATATTTCTATCCATATCTTGTTAATGAACACATACTTATTTGATACCAAGTTCAAGTTAGTATATAATAAATCAAATTTAACATACACGACATTCTATTAATCAACAGTTTTTATATAAAAGGAAAGCAATCATACGATAAGACATTAACAACTTGAAAAGTACACTAAAACTCTGTTCTAATGTGTTGAGACTTAGACTAGTTTATGCTTAGCATTATCTACTTGAGTGTGGAAAATAAAGAAACGTGTTTACTCTTAACTTCTTAAACATGTATTAAAAAGTCAACACACAAAGAACCAAACAACAACTTGAGATTTAGTGTAGCTTCGCAACCCACAAAGAAACGAACAATCTTAAATGGGATCCTAATATTAAAGAGAGATTTGGTGTAAAGCTACGTTAACGTCAAGGCTGCTGCACCAATTTAAAGGAAAACAAATTCTTAATTAAAATAAAATAAATCAACTTTAAATAATACCAATGATTTGTATTTTCCATTGGAATCTTTTACATTCTGGAGAAAGTAGAGAAAGCATGATGTGATCCGCTTCCAGTTGTGGTAAATTATACGGTGGTTGTGTCTCTGAATCCATGAAATCCATGATCGTGATCACTAAACTAGGTTAAAAATAGAAAAGAAAACATGTTAGCAGTGAATAAACAGATTTACAAAATATATAAGTATTCGATTGCCAAAACCAATTCACATTGTCACCTTCAGATTTTCGTAGATTACACATCAGTTTCCCTTTCTGAGACTATTTAGTTTAAGATCATTTATATGAAAATAATTATTTCCCGCTTGGATAAAAATTAAGCGGGATATGGAAAAGAAATTATTTTAGAAGAAATAGATATATTTTTAAGTAGGTTGGTTATTTGTGTGAGAGAAAAATAAATTCAAAATCACAAATTTTAGAACGTACGTGTGTAAGAATTTGTATAAACTAGGCTAAAACTTTATATCACCTAGAAAATAGAGAAAAATAATAAGCTCCCGAAATCAAGGAAAGTAACTAGTTAAGTCAATATTGAATAAATCTTCCTATATTTAAGGAAAGAAATACTAGTTTGTTTAGTTGAAGCCTTATCCATTCCTTTTAAATATTAAGTTGCTAGATTGTTCAATGCTAGGTTGCATGGAAACTCTTTCGAAGTGCGTTTCCCGTTTCGGAAACGTTTTCGGAAAGAGAAACTCTTGGAAACTCGGAAAACTATAACAGAAACACGATTCCTATTTTTTTTTTAGAAACACGATAGAAACTCGCGTTTCCATTTTGGAAACCCGACGGAATCTTAAACTTTTAGTTTAGAAACTCAATAAACAAAAATTTTGATTTATAATATATAGAGTGATTACTTTTATACTTTTAAAACTTGATTAAAGTCATAATAGACATGCTAAGAATTTATATGCCAGGTCATTTTAATAAATTTTTGTTGAATAATGGTGCCATCATGATATAGAACTCATCTACTTTGACTGTGGCAGTATCTACCTGAGAAAACATAGTGTTGGCTAACATCCTATGTGCATAACGCAAAGTAGGATGCTTGATTTGTGCTGCTTTAGAACCACCTTCATAAGCATTATGATCTGCATATTGTCTCCATATTGGGTAAGTACTTTCGCTTTGTGAATCGAATCTTCTCATCATTACTGAAACCAAATGCCTTGCATAGATCCAGAATCGTAATAGTGTACTCTTTGTCACCAATGCAGAAATCTAATATCCCGGTCTCGGCTTCCGGTGTCCTAGCATCCTGAAAAGAAACTGTGACAGTTCCAAGAAACTCCTTAGTAAGCATCTCATAAGCACTATAGTTCACAAAAATGAACTTTCGTAATCCCCATTTTCGAAAAAGTCAGTCCACATCTTCACGAATTGCTAATGCATCAAGAGTGAAATCATCAGCGTAGAGAGTTGGTATGACAACAGCTCTATGACGTGCAGCCCTATAGTTGACTCCTTTAACCAATTTTGTCCCCCATTCTTTCCATGGCAGCTCCTGTATTAAAGCTGATTTTTGAAGCTTAGCTGTACCACTTGGTTGTGGTTTCTTTCTTGCTTTAACGTTGGATTTACTAGTCACAATCGCTTTCTTTGTTTTTGATGGTGCTTTTTTGCTTCCTTATCTTGTGGTTGGTATTGTTGTTTTCACCATATTATGGAACTGGAAAATCTACAACAGCAAACACAATAGAAGAATTAATCAAGACGAAATTATATGAGTGATTCAAGTTTTCGAATTATCCAATTATCCCCAAATATTTCAGCTTAAAATTCAAAACATTTGTACAATTATGCAGTAATTGGGTCATATACGATCAGCCCATGTGCAAACAAGTTATGGAAAGGTAATCTAATATAAAATTAGCTATATATGTACAAAAGAAAAACGAAACAATTACTTCAAATAACCATAATATTTGTGTTTATAGAACATACCTCATATTGAGTTAGAGAAGAGGAACTAAACCAAACCGTTCTTCTACAATAATTCTGAGTTTGAGAAACTTCAAGAGATAATGATAAAGAAAAAAAACCAGAAACGTGAAGAGCTGAAGAAGAAGACGATGGGGAATTGGATTTATCTTTTTTTCCTCAAGAATATAATATTAAATAACCAAAAGTTGTTTACAAGGCCTTAAAGCCCATAATTGTTTTGCAGATACAAAGGGTGAAACCCACCAAGAGGTCACCAACATTACAACGAAAGCTAAAGGAGATTTTAATAATGGAAAAATCGATTACACATGTTGGTTTTAGACGCGTGAAAAGCTATAACGCTCCGATACTTCTGTCCGTTAGAAAACAAGTGAGTTTTGTATCGGTTAGATGAATGCTTAATTTATTCCAACACAAGTGATCACTGCCGGACGGTCATTCAAAACACTATTGCCTAGTATATTTTTATTTCCAATTAGTAAATTTAAATATCACCTAAAATAACTAGAAAAAATGTTATGTTGCAAACATAATAGTTTTATTTTCAACTTAGACAACTAAGAGAAATATCAAATATAAAGTTCAACCTAGTAACCACGCCATAGTATGTAGAAAATTTAACAAAAGATCATAATAATTTTTAATAATCTTTAGTACAACAATAACGAGAAAAAAAAGTTTGACTAAGCATGATTGGGATAAGAAAACAAAGGTTAGCTTAAGCAAGATCTGAATCGCCCATATCATATACGTCTCTAGGTTGAACATGGACTGCAATTTTCCACTCCTCTTTGCAAGGATCATATACATAATACACCATCTTTGGCTGAGATGCCGATATGTATGGCTCATCTTCTTCATTATCTCCGGTATGTAACAAACATGAAAAATTCACCATATGATGATCATATGCATCCATTTTATATCCTCGTTCAGTACGAGTGTCAGCCCATTTACACTTAAATAATACATCCTTAAAAACCCCATATTAGTTTAACTCTACAACTTCAACCAGATTTCCATAGTAAGCTATTGTTCCTATTATTGGGTTAGGATCACGAGAGCTAGCATAACTCATAGTTTCAGCAGCTATGTAGACACTACTATTTTGGGTTTTCAAGTCAGCATCTCTTTCTATGCTCCGGAGTTTGAAACCATTGACATTGTAAGAAATATACTTCACAACTTTTTCTGATGTACCCAAAGCTAAGCATCATAAATCATTAGTTATCCTGTCTAAATCAGTTACCTTGACTTTTTGTTTGATCCAATCTGCAAAAATGAGATACATTTCCTTGTCAATGTCAATAGCACGATTCTTCTGATGAGATAGTTTACTATCCATAGCTCCCTTTTGCGCTTCCTAGATACACAATTAACATAAACTTTTATATTCGAAAAACTTTAATCAACTTTAATTAAAAATACTTATTCTAGAATGAGAGAAACTTACTCTCATAAGGATCAAGTAGTTGACAATTCACCAATATATGTCGATGTGCTTGTTGTCACTCTACATGATTTAGAGTATAAACCTTACCCGAACCAACAAATCTTCCAAGGTTTGGAAAAATAGATCGAAGTTCTTAATTCGGTCTTATACTAGTATGAGCAGGCCCGGCTCATTCAACGACAAGACCCGGTGCCATAACTAAAAAAGTCCTATTTTATATAAAACAATAGGTCCAAAAAAAAAATATGAAGTAAAAAGCATTTTCTAAGTGAATAATGACATCCTATTTTTATGATCTAAAGCAAACTCATCAATTAAACTTTCTACATCTAGTTCGTCCAAAAAATCATTCTCGATTGCCATCAAAGCTAGTCCGCTCAATCTTTCTTGCGACATGGATGTCCTCAAATATGACTTCAATAGCTTGAGTTTAGAGAAACTCTTTTCTGCGGAAGCAACAGTAACTGGAATTGTTAGTTAGATCCTATATGCAATTGTAGTATATGGAAAACTATCAAATGGTATATGATAATATAATACATCATTTGCTCCCATATTTTCATTTGCCAAAAGCTCCTTGAGAAATTTTAGCTCAAGAAAAATTTCATCTCCATTAATGTCACCACTTCTCAAACTAGTTTCTAAATAAATACAATGGGACTTTAAATTCACATCATCACACATTTTCAATCAAGTAAAGAATCAAACAAAAAACCAAAAATATGCTCATACGATTGATATTTCTCAAATCTCTTATCAAATGAACTAATAGCATGATCTATGATATACACAAAATATTGAATCCTAAATGTTTCTTCTACATATAATATTGTTTCATTACCAACAAATTCATGAAATTGTCTTTTTTAATGATAACTCTTTTTTGAATAAATATAAGTTCAATACCAATTTCATTAGCAATTTCTTTAGCTTTTGCCATAGCATCAACAAATCCATTTTCTCTATATTTATTTTTAATAAGAAATTAAACCACTAACCTCTTTAATTGCAACATCAATTTTCATATCTTTTGATTGTAAATTTTTACTAACAATGTTCACCACATGCAATATATCAAACCAAATAATAGTAGATAACAAAAACTCAAAACTACTAAGCTCATTCATTGCTAGAGACTTAGATTCACTTTGAATCATTGGGTCATAATCACTTTCCGCCACTTCAAGTAAAGCTTCTCTTATATCTACAATTTGAAATCTTATGGCATTAATACTTTCAACACGACTTTCCCATCGTGTTGTTGATAATTACTTAAACGTTAAACTTTTCACATTCATTTTCAAAATACCTCACCTCTTTACTGAATTAGCAAACAAAGAATATAAGCGTTGCACTACTCCAAAAAAGTCTTTTACATTTACCGAATTATTTCCAAGATCCACTAATTCTTGTTCAATTGAGTTAAACCAACTTAAATACTAAACCAAATGAATCACATCATCACATCATCATCATCACCATTATACCACCATCACATGATCGACATCAAATACATCATCATCACCATCACCATCACCATCACTATTATCACATCATCGACATCACATACATCATCATCATCATTTTCATCATCATTATCATCTCCCATCACCTTCATCACCATCACCATCATCATCACTATAATCTTGACCAAAACCATAAATTCAATATTTTCCCGCCAAAAAAGTAAATTTTCAGTTTTCCCGCCAAAACCGTAAATTCGCAATTTACCTGCCAAAAACGTAACTTTGCAATTTTCTCGCCAAAAACGTAAATTCGCAATTTTCCCGCCAAAAACGTAAACTTGCAATTGTCCCGCCAAAAATGTAAACTCGCAATTGTCCCGCCAAAAACGTACACTCGTAATTGTCCCACCAAAACCGTAAATTAATAATTTTCCGGCCAAAATCGTAAAATTAGCAATTTTCTCGCCAAAATTATATCCGTAGATTTCCCGCCGAAAAAGGTAAATCATAGTTTTCCGCCAAAAAAATGTTAATCATTAATTTTCACGCCAAAAACACATGATAGTGATGATTTTTATGATGAATTGATAATGATGGTATGATGGTATATAATGATGATATATGATGATCATAATTATTTATTCTTTATAAATAAAAATATTTAATTAATTAACTATTATCACTAATGAGTCAACTCATTTAACCACTTAACCCATGAGATTAAATGAGTTTATGGGTTGACTTAAATCATTTAAACAAATGAGTTGAATCAACACATTACCCATTTAACTCTAAACTCATTATGTAATGAGTTGAGTTGAGTTGGGTTATCCATTTTGACATCCCTAATTATATTACGCAAAACCAAAAGTTTTTTTTTGTACACCATTTTTGCTTCCTTTCATATTAGACCCATTATCATAACCTTTACCTCTTATGCTAATTTTAAGAGAAAAACACGATTTACCTGTTGGATAAGAGGAAAATAAATCTCTAGATGCATATTTTGCTTGTTAGGACTGAGAAGCAGGTGAGATGTCTTCGGAGAAAAAAAAGAAGCAATGATAGGTTTTTTTGTTGTTGTTAGCCACCCTAAGTGCCTAGAAACAACATTAGTTTAGTTTTAGGTTTAGTGTTATTCCATTTTCATTAGTTAATTTGGGTTATGTATTTAGTTAGGCCTATTAATTTGTTTATAGATTGTGGGCCTCAAAATATAACAAAAGTATAATTTTAAAGGGCCTTTTAGATGTAGATTTCAAAATAATTTCAGCACCATTAAGTATTTATACAATGTAAAAATTACAAAATCGGGTCTTAATTATTTTGGTCCCTGTGCAAATGCACTTGTTGCACTTGTCAATCGCCGGGCCTGAGTATGAGGTAGAGGTCGATCATCAACGCTGCCATACCGAGTAAATCGTGCCTCTATATCATTAAGATACATTGAGCAAAATGTTACACATTTAACAACTAAATATTGCTAACATATAGAACCTTCAGGCTTAGCTCCATTCCGAACATATGATTTGAAATGCCATAGAGTCATGTAGATAAGTGAGTTAAGAAAGTTTTCAGTTATATATATATAATAGAGAATGAGAAAAGCGTACTATAAAACAGAGAATGAGAAAAGCGTACCTCTCTATCGGATACATCTAACGAAATGGAACTGGCCCACTGAGTATTGCTTCTTCTGTGAGATGTACTACTAAATGTACCATCACCGTAAAAAATGATGGAGGAAAAAACATCTCCATACGACATAAAGTCAATACAATATGATCTTGTAATTTATCAAGCTCATCGATATCAAGGACCTTTGCAGATATATCTTTAAAAAAATGACAAAGCTTGACAACGGCTAATGTCACATATGTTGGGAGCAGATTCTGAATTACGACTGAAAATAAGTCTCTCATTATCACATGACAGTCATGGCTTTTTAAGCCTAATAGCTTTCGACCATTAACATCAACACAACTTGATAAATTTGAAGCATAACCGTCAGGGAATTTAACATTCTTTAAGACACTTAAAAATGTTTCTTTCCCATGATTGTTCAAAGTATAACATGTTTCTTCATACTTTCCATTATCATCATGCCACAAGTCAGAATGTATTTCTAGCTCACGAAAATCTTTTCTAGCACTCAAATTATTTTTGGATTTTTTTTTTCATCCAATAACGTGTAGACTAGATTTTCAAATACATTTTTCTTAATTTGCATGACATCTAATTTATGCTTCAACATAATGAATTCCCAATAAACCTGCTGAAAAAATATACTCTTTTTTTTCCATTGCTGAGTACTAATTCTTGCATTACTACTTCCTGTAGCACTACTTCGATCTCTTTTTCCAATTCTACCTAAAACATGGTTCTTACCTAAAATAACATTAACATGTCTAGTTGATGAATAACTGTAGAACCTGGCAATATGGCTTGTGGAGATCTTGTTTCTATCTTTCCGTCAAAATTATTTTATTTGGACGAAAGTCATGATCTTGAAGAAGAAATCATCGATGACCCATATTATTTTTTCCATGCATTAAAAGTTGCCCGATGCCATCAAAATTGGAGTTTGGACAAGCGGATGTTGTATATGTATTCCAACCCGACAAATTTCCGAGACCAGGAAAATCACTAACTGTCCACATAACGGCTGCTCGCATGTTAAATGTTTGGTTTGTAGAAGTATCTACCGTATTAATCCCATCAGACCATAATTCTTTCATCTCTTTTATAATAGTTAATATCATTACCAGTCATGTGCTTCCAGGCATGTGCTTCCAAGGATAACCGTGGAGAGTACCATTGAGGTTTGGTTCATTGACATCCATGGTGGAAAATTATAAGGAAATAATATCACTGGCCATATGCTATAACTACTATTCATGATACCAAATAGGTTAAAACCGTCAGTCGCCAAACCTAGTCTCACATTTCTTGGATCATATGCAAATTCATGATATCTTTGATCAAATGCCTTTTAAGCCCCTCCGTCTCTTGGATGTCGAAGCTTGCCATCTTTTTTATGAACTGTTGCATGCCATCTCATGTTTGTAGCAGTTTTTGATGACATGAATAAACGTTGTAGTCGTAGCTTTAAAGGAAAATAATGCAAAACCTTTGCAGGAGCTTTACTTTTAATTTTCTTTGATTCTGCAGATCCTCTACTCTTTGTTGTAATCTTTTCTTTCCAACGAGATGCTTCACAAACTTTGTAGATTTCCCTATCTCAACTTTGTTTTTACTAGAGAACAACGGTTACATGGACATTTCAACATAGTTGCGGGTTGTTGTTCCAAATGCAAAATCCAAAAAACTTTTCACCCCCAATATGTAATCTTGAGATAAACGCGGTTTGTTTATCCATCACTTATCCATCAAAACCTGAAAAATTGATTAATCTAATTTGTAAGCTTGAAAAATTCATAAAACAACAATTAAACTTCAAAACTGAAAGAATCTATCAATGGATATATGTACGTATACTATACCATATCACAAAATAAACTGAAACTAAATTGATGCATTAACAAAGATGTAGAAATAGAGTTGATTACTAAAACTAATACATTAAGGAACAACAAAGGATGATGGGCCATATAGCATAACACCAAGGAACGATCAATCATACAAACAAACTTTTAAAATAAAGAACACAAGTAAAGTTGGGTTTTAATTTGCAGGAAAATATACAGATGTTTTCAAACATTAAGTGTCACTTTCTCATTGCAAACAACATATAATTAGAAAAGCTAAAAAACAAATGTTTTCAAAAATATTTAGGCATGTACATGTGGTATATGTACCTCAATTAATTAAAATCATGTGTACAACTAAAAATATTTCTTTTAAACATTGTATAACTAATTAGAACAAAAAAAATGAAAAAGTACAACTTGCCAAAACGAGTACAACTTGTAATTTTGGTACAACTAGTGCATTTTGGCGGCTACACATGTGTCTTTTGGCGGCTACACGTGTCTAATGTTGATCACGTGTTTGTTGTTTGGTCCATTTTTATTTTTTATTTTTATTTTTCCTACACTTAAGAATTTTTAAAAAATTTCAATTTCAAATTGAAATTAAAAGAGGGAATCGGGAATCGGGTATAGTTAGGGTTTACTATTTGTCCTTTCTTTTACTCTCTTCACTTCTTCTCCTTCTTTCTTTCTGGGTTGGTTTGCGATTTCGTCTTCTTTATTTTGGGTTTGCGATTTCTGAGAATGCGCTGCGAATCTGGACCATCGGGAATCTTATGCGGAAATTCCTCCAACCGACGAAGGTTCCCTGGAATTCCCAAAAAGTGACATTGTGGGTTGTTTCTTTGGTTGTCTTCTTGTGATAGGGCTGGGGATATGGTACAATCAAGTGTAACTTGTTCTTCGTATTTTTACAACTAAGTATAACTTGTTCTTCATAGTTGTACAACTAAGTATAAAACTAGTTGATTAATTTCCTTGGTTTGATTGTAACTTTCCCCTTTTCTTATTGGCTTAGCTTTGTTGGTAACTTAGAACTTACTTTGTGTATTCAGGTTGTAATCTTGGTTGTAAAACTAGTATTTTGTAATGTTACAACTACTATGTAGTTTTACCAAGTTGATCTTTTGAATGCAATTGTATAATGGGAACTCAGAAACTTAACAAAAACCATATAACTTACCAGAATAGTTCAAAACACATCCAAAAACACATCAATCCATAAACCAATACAAAGAGTTCACATATAAAATGACTCAAATTTCTTCTTGAAAACCCTTTCATTTTACTTGCTTTAAATTTCTTCTAGTTATACCAAGTTCTCCTAAGTTGTACTATTTTATCTAAGTTATACATTTCGTTGAATCCCCAGAATTTGATTTCGGATTCGAATATGTTTCTTCAGAATCATCTCGACGAGTCCCATTTTCTTCTACGATTGCATATGTTGCCTTTTCGATTTCACCTACTGGATCTGATTCTTTGTTAAAGCTTGTGTTCTTTGTATTCACCATTCTCTTCTCCTTCACACAAAACCGCAAATTAGCAACATACTTGAGTAATAAACAAAATCAGCAACCCCAAATTAAGATTAACAAATCGAAAACACCTAAATCGAAAATATTCAAGCGGATCTAACATAAAATACCCAAAGAATCATCGATTTTGACTTATCCAAAGTCGAGTTGTCTTTAGTTGTACTCGACGATATGCTTGTGATTTTCGAATTTTTCAAACACTTAGGATTTGGGAGTTTTGTGATTTTTCAATCAATGAGGAAGACAAAAGGGTGAATGATCTGATGGATATCCAAAAGTGGAATGGATTTTCGGATTTGGTGTGGTTGGATCTGTAATTTTTAGGTTTTAGTAAGGGTGGATATGTATTTAACCTCTTTTTGATTTTTTTTAATTAATTAATTATTTTTTGTTTTGGTCAAAGCTTTTTTAGATTAACAATATTAGTCAAAGGGCACCACATAATTTTTTCCTATTCTTCTAAGGGTTTGACCAAAGGGAAAAAAATTAATTAAAAAATCGAAAATTGGTTAAAATACAAACTTATCATCACTAAAATAAAACAATTACAGATCCAACCACCCTATATCCGAAAACCCATATCACTATCGGATATCCATCGGTTCCTTTACCTCTTTGTCTTCCTCTTCATCGTTTTGAAAAATCAAAAGTCCCCCAAACACTAAGTGTTTTGAAAAAACTGAAAATCACAAGCAGTTCGAGTATAACTACGGACAATCAGAGATAGGATAAGTCAAAACCTTCAATTCTTTGGGTATTTTAAGTTAGATCCACTTGAATATTATCGATTTAGGTGTTCTCGATTTAGGTTTTGTCGATTTAGGTGTTCAATTCGTTTATTACTCGAGTATGTTGTAATTAGCGGTTGTTGGTTTTGTGTGAAGGAGAAGAGAAGAATGGTGCGTACAAAGAGCGCAAGCTTTAACAAAGAAACAGATCCAGTAGGTGAAGTCGAAAAGTCAACAGATGCAATCGTAGAAAAAGATGAGACTCGTCGAGATGATTCAGAAAACACAGAGTCAAATCCGGAATCAGATTCTGGGGATTCAACGGTATGTACAACTTGGATAGAATAGTACAACTTGTGCGAACTCGTTTTTTTACTAAGAAATTGAAAAGGTACAACTTAGGAGAACTTGGTATAACTAGTTTATTTCAATTCGAAATTCAAAAGGTACAACCTGGGAAAACTTAGTATAACTATGTTGTTTTGCAGGAGTCCGAGGAGGAATCCGAGGAGGGAACAGAAGTAATGCAACCGCTGAACATGTACTTCAATCTGTCCGAGTACATGAAGCCATTCAAGCTATCTGCTAAGTGTTATATCACAAGGACAGTGGACTTCTTGAGAGCTCACCTTAAGTCCCATGAGTTGGACTGGTTCCTAGGACACCCACAGTTCAAACACTTCTTCCATATGCCGAAGAATGCCAATCACAAATTGATGGGTATGTGGATGTTGCTTCTCCGGACGGCGTCTTTAGAGAAGAAGAATGAATGTTGGTTCATAGTAAATGGTACTCCCATCAGATATTCTCTCAAAGAAATGGCACTGATTACTGGCTTATACTACCATGAGTATCCCCGGGACATGGAAACTCTGGGCAGTACTGAGTTTGTTGGTAAGCATTTTGGTGTTGGCACAACAATAAGATATGATGATGTCAAAGCAAAACTTTTATCGATGAAGAAAGCTTCTCCAGATCGAGTGAAGATGGCGGTCCTCTACTTCTTGTGTAGTGTGCTCATAGGGAAGAAGAATCCAGGGAAGCAAGCACCATCCGTAGAGCCATTCTTTCTTAGGGCTATTGATGATTTGGACATGTGTAAAACGTTCCCTTGGGGTCGTTTGGCTTTTGATGAGAACATGAAGGACATCTTTCATTGTATGAACCACTTTGGTGGAGTTTTGAGCACAAACCAATGGGTCTTTCCTAGTTTCGTCATTCCGTTGGAGGTAATTCTTGAATTATGAAAATGTACAACTTATTATAACTTGGTATAATTGAGTTTTAAGTCCACGATTTTGTGTTGTGTGTAGGTTCTTGCTTTTGAGGCAATTCCTGTTCTTAAGGAAAATTTCCGAGAAGGTGTTAGTAATGCACATGCACACCGTCATTGTCCTCGGATGTGCAAGATGAAATTTAAAGCAAGTAAAATGAAAGGGTTTTCATTGAAGGAAATTTGTGACAAACTTGGTACAACTAAGTTTAGCAATAGTCCCATACTTATCTTATTCATTTATTTTTGGTATTACTGGGTTGGTTTGACATTATATTGTTTTATTTTCATATGATATTGAATGTATCTTGACTCCATCATCACGTGAAAAACGTCTTTTAGGTCGTATCATGGATGAAGAGAGTCGCTATGATGATGTAGATGATCCTGTTGCTGATGGTTGGACCAAGTGTTTAATTGATGAAGAGAAGTCAATATGGTTTGAAGAGCTTTACAACCAAGATTTGGCCACCCGGGAGACAAATCCGGGAGATGTGAATCCGGAAAATGTGATTCTGGAAAATGTAAGTCTGGAAGATGTGAACCCAGTGGCTCCGGTGAATTTGGCTCAGCTAGGAGCTAGATTGGTTCAGCTAGAAGAACAAGTGAAGCAAGGGTTTAAGGAAATTATTGAGAAGGTTGATGGTCTGGATAACATAGTTAAATCTGTGGAAACCTATGTGATATGGGCCTCAGGTGAAAATGAATATTATACGAATGAAGGTGTTGGAGATACGAATGGAGGTGGCAATGGAGATATGAATGAAGGTGACAAGGAGCAATCTGAGATGAAGCAGGCTGAGAAGGATAAGGTTGAGAGGGAGCAGGCTGAGAGGGAGCAGGCTGAGAGAGAGCATGCTGAGAAGGAGCAGGCTGAGAGGGCTAAGACGGAGAAGGCTGAGAGGGCTGAAAGGGCTAAGACGGAGAAGGCTGAGACGGGTGAGAGGGCTAAGGCCGAGAAGGCTGAAAGGGCTAAGACGGCTAAGACCGAGAAGGCTGAGAGGGCTAAGACCGAGAAGGCTAAGAGGGCTAAGGCCGAGAAGGCTGAGCGGGCTAAGGCCGAGAAGGCTGAGAGGAATAAGGTAGAGAAGGCTGAGAGGGCTAAAGCCGAGAAGGATAAGACTGAGAGGGCTAAGGCCGAGAAGGATAAGACTGACAAGGAGCAAGCTGATAAGGCTGAGAGGGCTAAGGCCGAGAAGGATAAGGCAGACAAGGAGCAAGCTCATAAGGCTGAGAGGGCTAAGGCCGGGAAGGATAAGGCTGACAAGGAGCAAGCTGATAAGGTTGAGAGGGCTAAGGCTGACAAAGAGCATGTTGAGAAGGAACAAACTGAGAAGGAAAAGGCTGAGAAATCCGAGACCGAGAAGGCGAAGGTTGATGAAGAAAAAGCACAACTTGGTACAACTAATGAAGAGACAGAACAACTTGGTACAGTTGAAGAAGAGAAAGAACAACTTGGTACAATTGAAGAAGAGAAAGAACAACTTGGGACAACGGAAGAAGGCCGAGAGGAAGATGTTGAGATGGAACATGGCGAGAAAGAAGAAGCTAAGGAGAAAGGAGAAAAGAGGGAAAGAGAAGAAGTTGTTGATGCTCACCAAGGTAAAAGGGTGAAGATCATAAGCAAGAAGAAGGGAGCGACTGTGGTCATAAGGAGTCCTATTCAGACAAGACAAAATGCGAAGAAGGATAATTGATGATCTATTCTGGTTAAGTTGTGAACTCTTGAGATTGGTTTGTTTAACGTTGGGTTTTGAGTCATTTTATATGTGAACTCTTTGTATTGGTTTATGGATTGATGTGTTTTTAGATGTGTTTTGAACTATTCTAGTAAGTTATATGTTGTTTGTTAAGTTTCTGAGTTCCCATTATACAACTGCATTCAAAAGATCAACTTGGTAAAACTACATAGTAGTTGTACCATTACAAAATACTAGTTTTACAACCAAAAATTACAACCCGAATACACAAAGTAAGTTCTAAGTTACCAACAAAGCTAAGCCAATAAGGAAAGGGGAAAGTTACAATCAAACCAAGGAAATCAATCAACTAGTTTTTTACTTAATTGTCCAACTACGAAGAACAAATTATACTTAGTTGTCCAACTACGAAGAACAAGGTATACTTAGTTGTACTACGAAGAACAAATTACACTTGATTGTACCATATTCCCAGCCCTATCACAAGAAGACAACCACAGAAAACCAGTATACTCGTTTTCTTAATTTCCTTCATATCTCTCATCCTTTCCATTTTCATAAGAGTAACGTCTTCCTCTAGAACACCAATTTGAAAATCCAATGTTCTACCTCATCCACCAGTGCTTCATCAACGCACTTAAAGACATGTCTATCGTTCACAAGCTACATAAAAAATCAAAAATTAGAAGGAAAAGTTGGTAACTAAGTCGCAAATACAATAGTAATAAAACAGCTTTACCCTTCTATCATATGCATATTCACACCGGTAGTAGCGACGACACGGATTTGGTATGGATCGAGAGATTATGTCAACTATTGGTGACCCAAAATGGCACTTTTTGTCGGTTGGAAGAATTACCACATAAGATTCCCGTTGCTCCAGATTCGTAGCTCATTCTCAGAAATTGCAAACCCAAAATAAAAAGACGAAATCGCAAACCAACCCAGAAAGGAAGAAGGAGAAGAAGTGAAGAGAGTAAAAGAGAGAACAGACAGTACACCCTAGCTATACCCGATTCCCAATCCCCTTTTTCAATTTCAATTTGAAATTGAATTTTTAAAATAATTCTTAAGTGTAGGAAAAATAAAAATAAAAAATAAAAAAGACCAAACAACAAACACGTGATCCACATTAGACACGTGTAGCCGCCAAAAGACACATGTGTAGCCGCCAAAATGCAGTAGTTGTACCAAAGTTACAAGTTGTACTCGTTTTGGCAAGTTGTACTTTTTCATTTTTTTGTTCTAATTAGTTATACAATGTTTAAAATAAATATTTTTAGTTGTACACATGATTTTAATTAATTGAGGTACATATACCACATGTACATGCCTAAATATTTTTGAAAACATTTGTTTCTTAGCTTTTCTAATTATATGTTGATTGCAATGAGAAAGTGACCCTTAATGTGTAATGTATTTCTTGATAAACTTAGAATATGATGATCTATATAGTGAAGTATAATAATAAAAATTATGATTCCTTATTATATATATATATATATATATTGGATAACATGATGAAATTATAATTCAATACATATTTATATTTATTAAGTTTTCTATATTTAATTCCAATTCACGTTTATAAAAAAACAAATAAATCCTGATTATATGATTAATTAAAATAAATCCTTGTTTTCGATTATTTAAATATTTTTTAAATATAACAATATTGATTTTTATTTAAAAATATATATCAATTTAAATATCAATAAAACAAGTTGACTTAAGAATGTCCGAAAATCAAATTCAAATTATTCAAGTTGTACCATAACAAAATCAAGTTGTACATAATTGTTCAAATAGGATATTACATCAAAATATAATCAATCAACTTCGGAAACCCTGACTCTCAAACCAGCTAGCGATGGTAGATTTCTTCCTCCTGCGTCCTGTTGATTTAATCCTCCTTGTTGGTTTCCTTCCTCTTTTTATGACATAAAACTTAAGAAAGACAACCAAAGCACGCACATTGTCCGGAACGATCCACGTAGAAATGATAGGAACTGGATATATCGTCCTTGAATATCCTAATGCCCACTGCTCCATCCAATAATACTTACTGCACAGCTCATACAATTGGATCTCATTGATCTCATGATCAGCGTTTTTTGCTGCTTCCATGGCCGCAGCAGTAGCGTGCACACACGGATATCTATCCATATCAAATTGCTTGGAGTAGCACGTTTTGTTTTTCAGATCAACCACATAACTACTACCATCAACTCCAGTCACACTGTATTCATGAAAATAGCTGTTTAGTTCAGTCACCGGTAAGAGCTTTGCGTCTGAACATCTATCGTGCAACAACTTCTCAACAAAAGGGATTAACTTTTGTTCTATTGGTGTCTCTAAGGATATTTTCCTATATTTATTAAACCATTCAGCTAGTTTGGCAACAATCGCATCTATCATTGGTAGTAACACGTATGCCCTTAAGAATCTAAAGACACCATTAATAGATTCAACTGTATTAGTTGTATCAATGTTGTATCTAGCTCCTGAAAAAAAACATTGCGCCCATTTATGTTTTCCTACGTGTTTATCAAGATAAGTACCTGCGGCTGGAAACCTTTTAATGAAATCAGCATAGAGTTTATCAAACTCAGACTCGGTGTAAGCCTTCGCAACTTGCATGAACGTCGTCACAACTAGATCTCTATTCACGTTCTTACAGCTCAGTTTAACATTCTGAGACAAGTGATAAATACAATATCCATGGTGAGACAACGGGTACACCGTACTTATTGACATAATCAAGTTTTGATGTCTATCATAACAGAAGACCAACTCAGTACAATCTGGTATAACTGATTTCAATTTACTGAAAAACCAAGCCCAACTTGCATTATTCTCACTGTCAAGTACACCAAATGCAATTCGATAATGGTGGTGATCCGGATCTTGAGCTGAAGCCACGATTAGTACTCCACCATATACATTTTTAATACTGGTTGGATCCACAATGATCACCTTTCTCATGGAATTGAAGCCTTCAATGCATGCCCCCAAGGCAAAAAACAAATATTTAAACCTCTGGGCTTCATCCAATTCAACAAATGAAACTGTACCTGGATTCGTCTTCTCCAACATGTACATATAACAATAAACCAACTTATAGCTATCCTCTGCGGTACCACGAAGGTCAGCTGCAGCTAGCTTTTTCCCTCTATTTTTGGTTGAGTATGACACTTTGATATAGACTTTTAATTGAACCAAAGGAATCAGATTTTTTGGAGTTGGAGTGTCTATCAGACATGGAAAATCTTCACGCAAAACAGATGCAAATAAATGAGATGTGCCTCTCCTTTTTTTACTCATTGTACTTGTTTATGACTGTAAGCATGTATGTATCTTAGTGTAAGTTCTGACCGAGAAATTGTCTGCATTCCCATTCCTTGCTGCTCGTAAAGCCCACTTGCAACCCTTTCTAAATTCTGAGCATTTAAGCACAAACAACATAGGATCCGACTTTATTATAACAAACTCAAAACAGTTCTTGTGCGCTGCTTTTTCAACCAAATCTTTAATTACTTGCTTGCTTTCAAATTCTTGCCGAATAGTCACATCCAAACCATCTTCCCACTCACGCTTTACAACCGGTGTAATATCTGCAGTATGTGTAATCTCTGCAGAAGGTGTGATCTCAGAAGGTGTGATCTCAGCAACATGTGTGCCATCTTCTACTATTGCTCGTCTTCGGACTGTTCTTCATAACGAATCATGTTCCCATCTCTCCCATCACTATTTTCCACCATCTCATGACTTTCAACGACTCTCTTTCATCAAGGAACATGGTCCCATATGTTGCTTTACTACTTGAAATATGCTCCTCATTGAGTGAACAACCTACACTTCCTCGACTCTTCTCATACCCCTGATTTACGACTTCGACATGCAAAACTTCGAAATGATCTTCATTCATATCCATATAACACATAACATCATCATCATCATCAAATATGTATATTGGTCTCTTAGGCTCCACTGATTTTGGAACATAACTCAATTTCAGCTCAGTCGTTGTTTCATCAACATTCGCCTTCCGACATATCTTGTTCACCACTGCAGAATAAGTGACCTCCTCTGTCGCCATTCTAAGAGATTGATGAACTTTATCTCTTGAATTCCATCTTGGTTCATTTTCTCTTGTTGCATAATATCCCCCATAATCATATATTATGATTTTTCGATGGTTTTTATTCATTGTGGTCTGAAATAGAATAGGAAAACTAACATTATAATCTCTTTCGTGTTCATAGTTATACCAAGTTATACCAAAGAGTACCATTTGTACTACAAGTTTTACCATTATAGTTATACCAAGTTGTGCCCGAATAGTTATACCAAGTTCTACCAGTTGTACTACAATGTATACTACTGATTTTCTAATACATTCCTACGATTCAATTCGATTGAACTGTTACAATGCACACATTATGAAACATAGTCGACCCAATTCGACTCATATCCCTAATTGACAATGAGGATAAGAAAAATCGGATCAAATCCAAATCTACAATGAGAATAGTTCAATAGGGATGAACAAATACAATTCACAACAACTGCACTTCATGCCAACAAGTTATAAATTTAACTATGGGTATGAATAAGTGTATTACCTCAGTTGTTGGGTTGCTTCTCGTGTTGATAAGAGAGACGATGGAGTTTAATGGAGGAGGAGGAGCTCGATTAAGCTATGGAGGAGGATGGTGGAGATCGCCAGATCGTGGGTTGAAGGAGAGAGAAGATAAAGATTTTTGAGTGGGGTCCATGTCAATTATTCTTTTCTTTCTTTTTTTGTTTAAATTAAATCAAATAATAAGAAGGGCAAAATATGTCAATATTTAAATCAATAAATGGTCCAAGTGTAGTTAGAACATGGAAGGGTATGAAAGTATAGAGACTTTAGTCAAAGGGCATGAGAGATTTTGGTCCCAAAAAATGACATCAATAAAAACCAACAAAATAAACGTTACAAAATATATAAACACCCCTCGTGCGTAGCGCGGATCAAAAACTAGTATATTATAAAGTTATCATTACATAATAAAAGTCCACTTGTTATCAGTTGAAACCGAGAAATAAGAGCAAACACATAATAGTATCATAATAAACACTCATCATCATATTCCTTAAAAATATCCTATTTGATTCATACTTTATCAATTAAGGTTACTATAGAAAATATTTTTTTAAATTTTAATATTAAAATCTAAAATATTTTTATTTTGAAATTTTTTAAGTCGAATCACATATCATTGATATATAATAGTTTTTATATAGCTAATTAATCAGATTTACATTCTCCAAAGTTATATGTAAATTGGCAACGGCCAACGGGTCTGAATATTCACACAATTGTTAAAATTATCATATTTTTTTCCTTTCAATCAGAAAATATTATTATGATTTATCATACTTTTTCATTTCAATTAATGGGTAATGATACACTCTTTTTCAATTAGTAACAAAATTACAAATTAAAGTTGTATTAAATTAAAATAAAATTGTCTCGCGGATAACCCGTGTTACGACACTGATGAATACATGCGATACAAAATATACTATTAATAAATATAAGATAAAAATATTATTTTCTCACGGTGTATCGCGGGTTAATCCCTAATATCATAATAAAATGTTTGTGATATTAATCACATACCGATATATAGTTGGTATACGTTGGGAAATAGATTCTATAATTATAATAAAATAGTGATAAAAGCACTACTTTTGGAGAAATGGACTCTACAATTGTGCTATACAATTTTAAAGTTGAAATAAGTAATCATACTTTCTCTTATACTTTTTCATGTAGCTAACTAACTTTTTCTCTTTTTGGCTAATCTAGAATATTAGAATCCATGTCCTCACTAATTTATTTTATTATTATTATTATTATTATTATTATTATTATTTTAACTATAAAAACACCCTCAAAATAATTTAAAGGAATATAGGATTATTTTGTGGTCTGTAACTTTGTATGGTGATTTTATTTGGGAAAACAGTCATTTCCCCCATAAACTTAGTTGCTTTATTGTATTTATAGACAAAACTTTTGAGTGTGCCTAAAACGACATGAACTTAACTAAAATTTGAATTTTCTACACGAATAATCTAAATTCGGTCAAAACCATCAAATCGCTAAACGGTGTCATAGTTCCGTTAAAATATGATGACTAGGATGCCATGTAGAACAGTTAGAATGATAAAACAGCGTCGTGTTATACAATATAGGGAGAAAACAATTAAAGTAAAAAATTACAAACTCAACCTCTAGTAACCATGAAGCACCACAATACCAGCCGACCCACAGACATTACACAATTACAAACGAAGATATATCTCTTAAATTAAAAAAAAACTAAGAAAACTGAACGCTTGTATTGCCTTATTCTTTGCTTATTGCCTTACTCTTTCTTCTTCTCCGATTTTTGGTTTATGAGTTATCCTCGACTCACTCCTTCAAAAGTTGAGATATTTATTAGGAAAAAAGATGGCTGGCTACACCAACTATAGCGTAATGCATGGTCACACATGCCAAGTATCATATTGTATACTCAGCTAAACGAACTAAATGTATTGCATAGCCACATGTATCAACTATACAACGTCATGTAGTCAACACCATAGACATAAAATTCTGGTACACCGGTCAACTGACTCTGACATTGACCGGTGTTGACTCCGGCGTTGACCGTTTTTGACCAAAAAATAAATTCCAAATATTTTTTTATATAATTTTATTTTTATTGTTAAAAAAACTAAAAACTATAATTAATTTTGAGTTTTTAATTATATAAAACTATAAACAATTTCAAGATATTATATTATTAAAAAATAATCTTAGGAAGAAAATGACGATAATGATTTTGTATTTAATTCAAAATATTAAAATCTAAATTAAAACTAGAAAAATTCAAGATAGTAAAATAATTCAAGATAGTAAAATAATTCAAGATACTAAAATCTACATTAAAAATAGAAAAATTCTGTGAATTAGTAAGGGAATTACTTATTTTTATATTGTTAATAAAAAATATTGACTTATTATTTGATTTATTTAAATACAAAATCATCATAGCAATTTTTTTCCTAAGATTATATCTTTTTCATTGCACAAAACCATAAAAAAATTAATAAAAAAATATTGATTTTGTTTTTATATATTCAATATCTAGACACTAGTTTTGTTTAAATCTTTAATGTATTCATTCTTATTATAATTAGTTATTTTAAAAATTTAGAGCTAAACTAATAGTAAAATAACTCAAGATATTAGAATCTAAATTAAAAGTGGAAAATCTTAGGAATTAGTAAGGAATTGCTTATTTTTACATTGTCAATCAAAACCATTAACTTATTATGTGATTTACTTAAATACAAAAATTATGGCTACAATTTTTTCCTAAGATTATATTTTTTTAAAGTATACAAAACCATAACGATTCATTATAAAATAATTATTGTTTTTAGTTTTTTTAACACTAAAAATAAATAAAATTTGGAATTTTTTTTTGGGTCAAAAATGGTCAACGCCGGAGTCAACACCGGTCAACGCCAGAGTCAGTTGACCGGTGTACCAAAATTTTATGTCTATGGTGTTAACTACATGACGTTGTATAATTGATGCATGTGGCCATGCAATACATCTAGTTCGTATAGCTGAGTATACAATAGGATACTTGGCATGTGTGACCATGCATTCCTCTATAGTTGGTGTAGCCGGCCATCTTTTTTCCTATTTATTATCATTAATTTTTTTAATTTAAAATTAAAAAGTCCTACATCAACTGCAAAAAATAAAGTAATTTTAAATTAGGATATGAGGAACTGAGATATTTATTACTCAATTCAATTTCAATCACACTTTTTATATTTTTTAACAAAATCACGTTGACCTATTAAAGATTAGATTTGATTTATGATTTTCAACTAATTTGGTTTAATCTACCAAAAGAATCCCAATTCGTAATTTAATTCCTGCGTTTTCTTGTATATATTTACTTATCTGTTTTGTTTACAACGAGTATAACGTTAGAGCCGTTTCATCATTTCACTGTTCCACGTGGCATCCTAGTCATCATATTTTAACGGAACTATAATACCGTTCAACGATTTGATGGTTTTGACACACTTGAAAATTCAAATTTTAGTTTTAGTTCAAGTAGTTTTAGGCATACTTGAAAGTTTTATGTATAAATACGATAAAGCAACTAAGTTCATGGGGGAAATGGCCGTTTTCCGATTTTTTCCGTCTAGTTCATTAGTTGAGGCAATTCCTACGTACATTCAATAACTTCAACGTTGGCATTTTAAAAAAAAAACAGTTAAACCAGTTTGATATTATGCAATTAGTTTTTAAACAAATTCTAGCATAATAGAAAATTTTGAATTACTTCAACATAGATTATAACTTCATTATACTATTTTTTCACAACATATCAAATCTAACTGATTTAATTAAGTTTTATATTATATAGTAGGTTTAAAACAAATTCTAGCATAATAGAAATTTTTAAATTTTAAAATAGAAAATACAAAGTTTGGCCCACAGTGTATCTCAGGTTAAAATATAGTCACAAGCAAATTCACAAGTATATATTTTGAGGCACTTGTTGATTCTGAAGATAGGTTCAAAAGTTTAAATAAAGAGTGTACTTCTGGCGAGACAGATATACAAAGATCGATCATCACTCCCTCAGTCACTTAGTATGAAGAAACATAATTCAATGTTAATGGTACAAGAAAGTGTGAAGCTTTGTACTGATCAGTTTAATCATTCACATAAGCGTCAAAAAATTAACAAATAGCCAATCGTAAGCTATACGCTATGCAAACATTACTTGTAGTAAATCGATTTTTAAGTTTGTGTAAGGCCAAATAATAATAGGACTCTCTCTTAGGCACTGAATAAGAAGCTTACTCGATGGCGTGCTTATCAGATTGACGAGACGTGTAATGAGCAGAAAGCAAAATGAGAGAAAGAAAAGCGCTCGCCACAAATATTGCATCAAACCATCGATGATAGAAATCAAACTGTATATCTCCACCCAACACATCTGTTATGATTCCCCTGTGCCAAATAAAACCATTAAAGCTTCAGATTCTAGTCTAGGATCTTTCTTACACAGAAAAGTTATGGACCAAGAGCAGATTATTAGACGCAGAAGTCAGAACGTAGAAGCAATGACACTAAAACTCTAACCAAGACAAGTCAGTAAGTACTTTGATTAAGAATTATGCGTACCTGTACTCATTTCTCAAGCTTTTTCTGATTAGAAGAATGGAAGACAAAAAGTACATTCCCATGATTTCCGATAGGAAAAGCACAACGTTGCTTGAAGACCCACTTCCCACTCTCGAGACTGCAAAGAAAAACTGCACCATCCACAAACTCCAACTCATTAGCGAAAGCTACAGATTTCCAATTCGGGGAACTTAAGATTGCACATTGTTATGTTTCCACTACAATTACTGTACTCATATGTGACTAGTATCTGGTAACAATTATCACCAGCTTAAAAGTGAAAAGAGTCTACTATTTCAATATGATTGCCTCTAAGTAGTAATAGCTTGATTAAAAGGTGCGGAGATAATAGTGAAACTACATCAAGGACTGTCTCAACAATCCCTCGAATGTGTTTTTCCCAAAATTTGAAGGAAAGTAAACATGCACACAATGGAAAAGAATCGAGAAACTAGAATCATAATTCACCTTCATCAGGTTCGTCAAGAATCCCCTCACAGAAATCACAATCAACATCCCAATAAACAACAGGGATATATACTGCAAACAAGAAAGACAGAAACAGAATTAGAGAAGAGTTACACAATCTAGCAAATAAGACATAGAGAAGTTGAGAAGTCAGCATATATTTTACATTTATGAAAATTAGTCAGAATTATAGCTAGGGCATAAGAACACTCTGGTCTCTTTAACCATTATCAAAGGCCCAAAGAAAGTGGATTTGAAAAAGACAATCAGTGTAAAAAAGAAAAAACGTCCATATTATATTTCTTTAGCTTAACAAGTCCATTATCAGAGATAGCAACGCAAAGTAACACAAACCTGTGAAAGCAGTGTAGCATCTACTCCTATATCAAACAATCGCAAGAATATGCTGATCATCGTCGTGACAGGGTCTTTCGTACCAGCCTGTAAACAAGCTTATTACTAGCAATTTCAAGTACTAAGAGGTACACATAATTATTTATTAAAGAACGGTGGCAATGATGCATAATTGAATGAAAACAAATTAGCACATGTGCGTACCTCTTTGAAGACAACACTTTGTAGAGACTGCGAAGACAGAGCACACAAATGGAAAAAGTTAGAGAATGACAATAGGGAGAAGACTTTTAATAAGGGACATCGATAACAATTTATCTTGCATATGCGTCCTGAGAATAACTGTCCAAACCGAATAACATAAAGGGTTTCAGAGAGAGATAGCTAGATGAACAATCAGGAAAGAGAACTTTCCAAATCAATTCATCAACTGATCTCCTGAAAACCTAAGGCTTTGAATGGTAACTTAGAGATGAATAAGAAAATCATTCAAAAGGTTGGATGAAACATTTTGGTCGTACGAATATACTCTGTATCTAGGAATGTTCTTTAATTATCAGCAGAGGTGTTCATATTTAGTTACGAAAAGTCAAAACAAGGAGATGATTAGAAAAAGAAAATTTATTCTATTAAAACACTTATTCCAACCGAAAGGAGATTTGGACTATCATTAAGGAATGATTCAGTCATCTACTATTCAATCTTCTAAAATATTACCATTCAAACCTAAAAGTAACTGACACACTCTTTTTAAGGAGAGAAAATGACTCAAAGGAAAATTAGAGAACTTCTTGAAGTTGACTTATGCCTCAAATATCTATTAACAAAACCAGCATTGATAGCACGAGCTGTTTTCACATGCATGCCTATAAAATTCTCTTGTAATTGATTTGAGAATAGGAATAAAGATATGATTATGAAACTTAAAAGGATAAAGAAATTTACCTTCAACATTTTATACACACAATAAATGGAGCATGCATAACCAAGTAAGTTCTGCACATGACCCTTCCAAGTTCTGGAATAGGCAGCAGCATCCTGCAAAAAGGATGAAGTCAGAGTAAGTACTTCTAAATATTACAACAAAGGAAAGCAGTCAGAAGCACTAATCTCAAGAATAGAAGATTCAACCAAAGTAAGATGTTGCCACCAAGTTAATAAGTAAAAACATATTTAGTGAGTCAAAACCAAAGCAGCCGATAGCTACTAACCTTTGCTTGACGCAGTTCATATATTTCCAAAAATAACTGTTTTGATAGCTCCTCCAAGGCTTCCACCTCCGCCTCCAATATTTTTATGTCTTCTCTAGGAAAAAAATATATCAATTAATTGAAATATATCGATTAATTGGAGGGACACGACCAGACAATCTGTTCATTAGATAGACTAATACCTCCCCATGTACACTTGAAGCAATTAACTAACTGAATCATCCTCTGCTAAAGGTTCAGTTTCCCCCAAAATAAGGTGGCAGGGTGTTAATTACTCAACAAAATGCTATTCTTACAAACAAGAAAAAATGATCTCAAGTTTGGTCTACGAAAATATATTTCTTCTGTACAAGATTCATGGTCAACTCAATGTATTTATGGACGAAAATAGACATAAGACTCCCCCTGTAGGAAGTATTAACATTACTTTTATTGGTTTAGACTATTTTGGAGGAAAAAAGGACAGTATGTTTTTTTCTTTTGTTGTTGTATTTGATCTAAGTTACTAACAGCACCATCAAAAAAAGCATGCACAAAAAAAGTATACTACCAAAAGTTCAACTAAGATAATTCCTCTGACCAGGCTCATTCTCCTCAAGCCAAAGCCCTAATGATTAATGATTAATGATAAACAGTTTTTAAGCTAAAAAAAATATGTCAAAGTAAAGCAAACAGAGTATACTCATTGCTGTTACCTCAAACCAGAATACATAAACTAACCTTGCTCCTTTTGGTCATCTTGAACCGATCGCACAACAGTCCCAACAATTCTTCTAAAGAAAGAGCTACGTTTCTGATTCTGGGAGAAAAAGCATCAGATGATTAGCTCCCAAATCATCACTTAAAATAAAGGCGTATTGTTATAGTAAAAAAGTATTAGATAGAAGTTTGAGATAACACTTTTTTATAAGATATGATACAAGAACATAATGGTAAAGAATTTGAGACTAGACGACAAAAACATATGAATATGCTAAAGGATAAAACAAAAACATACTTCTTCTGATCCTAGACTTCGTTCCACCTCTAATTGACACAAAATAATTTTATTCTTCTTTGCAATGCATGTCTCAGTTGACTGCATCAGTTGCCTTTCCAAAGATATTATATCTGCTTCTTCAATCTCCCTATATGAGAGAGGAAAAAAAGGTGTTGTTAGATACCAATGTCTTTAACACAAGCCTGCCAATCCATTGGATCCCTTGATAGTGTAAAGACCCACATACATCACTGAGATGACAAGCCTCTGGGAATAGCTCATAATATTATCCCAACTATACATTCAGCACTATTTTTTTCATCCAAGATTAAATGTGAAGTATAAGTTTCCATGTTGTGAGGTTCCATAGCACATTGCTTGTTTCATTCCACATTAATTTTCTCTTTGAAGAACATGCAGGTGGCAGTATATACACGGAATTCTAATTATGTATGTATGCTTTATCATATAACCCATTGATTGGTGGGCTATATGGAAACACTCTAATTGGCGGTTAAATATATCTAGAGAAAAAAGACTGGTATACATAGCAGCTTCGGAAATAGAGTTGAATATTAGTACCTAATGAAGAGGGATATATAGCTGTAGGGTAAATTTACAGCTCCAAATCCTGATAGGACAGCCATTAAGGTCACACCAATAACCCCAATTCTACTGACCAGCTGAGGCATGGTAAAAAATCCTTCGAAATAAATAGGATCTTTAAGTCAATAAGTTCAATAGACAACAAAAAATAACACAGAAATGAGAAAGTTGGATGCAAAAGCTAGTGCCAATCAAGAGTAGACAAGAAAAGAATAAAGAATTGTAGAATAACACAAACAGTCAGTCGTCTAAATCAGTGTGATGTCAACTAATGGATGTTATAAAATTCTATCTCAAATATTTGAAAACACTAGCAAACTAGCATATACCACGTATATTACATGGCCAACAAGGCTGGCAGTAGAAATTAGATGTAACAGTGGTACTAAGCTTAGTTCTACAAGTTGCTATAATCACTAGGTAAGGATTCAAAATTTCACCGGAAGGAAACTGAACTTAGCATGTAAAATGAGTAGCAACTAGCAACATAATGATGTAGTGCTGAAACAAGAGGAAAGATAAAGTAGTTTCGAATAGATACCTTTATCTGCTGAAGGCATAGGAAAATGAACTCCCATACGCCAGAATGCATAAAGGAATGCTGACAAGAATAAGAAAGCCCCAGCAGAGGCACGCTCCCTTCTTACACCTGAAATGTTATTCTAAGTTGATAACTGACAGACAGTTCACACAAAATGCTGTAACATGTGCCAGCAAACTGGTAGTCAAGGATTTAATCAGACAAAGAACAAAGAATACAATAGCTGTTAAGGCAATAACGTTATTCTTTCTCAAGTTTATCTATCTCCATTTTATTAAAGTCATGAGTGTTTGTAAGAGACTAAACAAAGCCAAAGTTAAGGATCACGATTACTCTAGCAGTAAGATCAAATTGATGGACCAAAGATAGTTTATACATAGCTGCACATAGGTGTTCTCAAATCCCATTTTAGTAGCATGTCTAAAATAAAAAACGCAATCTGAAACTTACTTGCAATAACACATTGACCAATTATCAAGATTACCTTCTAAACAAGGACTATGAGATAAGAGAACAAACAAAGAAAATCCACTGATAAAATAAGGCTTACCACTATTACGAAGCATCAAATAGCAATGGTAATACGGCAACATGAAAACAAGGAGAAGTATCAAACAAAAAAGATCCACCTTCCAGTTTATCATCCTTGCCCTGCAAAATATAAGAAAGATTGGTCCAATACTTAAAACCACTAAACTGATATTCCAAGTAAACGATACTACACATTCTACATTAACTACAATGACAAAAACCTCAAAAAGCACAATAGATCAATTTATGCTGCTTTTAGCAACTCACATATCGTTGCAACGTATGTATCAGCCACATACCATATCTAGTATATCAAAAATCAAGTTTCCACATAATACAGAGCAAAACAACAAGATTAAACTACACAATCATACACCAAAACTCTCAACTAAAGACAATCACACAGAAACCAAATCAATCTACACTCATCTTATCATTTGTTCAATCTCCTCTTCAGTCGAAGAATCAAGCGAATACAAAAAGAAGTACAGAGACAGAGAGATAGAGACTTACTCTCTAGAGAGAACAGGTATGATCTCAAACAAAACAAGCTGCAACAAATTACAAGAGAAAGCGAAGACGACGCTGAAAATAATCTGAACCAAAGCTCGCTTCTCTTCGTACTCTTTGTATAACCTCCGATTCAAAAACCACAGACCAGCCCATCCTAAGAGACACAGTGACGCCATCACCACCGTACCTTCGTATATCGCCCATCCGTAACCCATCGTCAAATCCAGATCTCAGATCTCAATGTCTCTTTCTTAAATCTCTTAAATCGCCATGGCGACTCAACAACAAACAACACCAGAGCTTTCTTCTTCTTCTGTTGTTTCGATTCATTTCGAATTTCTTCATTAACGAAACAATTAAAAAGTAATGAGTTCATTAAAAAAAAAGTGGATTAAATATTTAAAAAAAGGTATTTAAGAATACCTTATTTGTTTTGATTAGGGTTTATTTGGTTTAAACTCTAATCAACAACAACATCATCATCATCGTCATCATTCACCACCACCATTATCACCATATGACTCTACTCGAACTCGTATAGTGGAAGACGTTGTGATACTCAAACCAACCACTGAGCTACAGAGTAGTGTCACAAAGACGACTCAACAGTAAGCTTATTAAACATATTCATGAGGAAATGTACTCTATAAAAGATTATGTAATTTCACTTTAAAACACACAGATTTTTTATATTTATTCATTTTAACCCATGCTGACAAATATTTTATTTTTAATTCATATTTTCTAAAATTTACAGATTTTGTTGGAGTTCATTTTATAATTATTAAGATTATATATTATCAATTTTTACTCAATTATTTTGATTATACATGTCTTATGTTGTTGTTGTTAAAAAATGTTTATTAGAAGTGATGTTTTAGTCAATTTTTTTTGTTTCACTATAAGTGATGTTTTCAATTTCCTATGCAAAAATTTAATGTATTTAATATTTTTTAACCAATTATATTTTACATCATATTTTCTTATTAGTTGAATTCATATTAGTTAATGATATTTTATGGAAAATGGGTAAATTATATGTTTTATTAATTAGTGTGCTAGAACCTTAAACATCACTTAAATTGAAACAGAGGGAGTAGTAAAATAAAGATTTTTACCCTATTGAAGTATGAAATTAATGATATTCTTTTATTAATATCAATTCATACTTATCCCGTCTTACAACCCATCACATCATATAATTCACTGGAAACATATTACAACCCATCATGTCATAAAATCGTCGAAAAAATTAAACTCATGTTTAGCAAGGTTAATAATACTTTAATTTAGAGTTTAAATAATAATATCACTTAAAGTTTTTAAAATATTTGAGAATTTCTGAGAAATACCCCTTTTGGTTACCATTTTTCAAAATACACTCTTTATCTATCCATTTTCAAAAATACCTTTGTTTAAATATGAAAAATTATAAACTTTATATGGTTATAAGGTAATTCTATATAATATCTACTATTTGGAGATTTGATACAAATATTTTACAATGAATTAAAAAGTTTTAAATCGTTTTTACAAGTTTTATAAGGTTTTAAATGATTTTTAAAAGGTTTCTAAAAGGTATATATAAGTTATTTTTACGCTATTTATGAAAGTTATATAAAAATTTATACAAATATAAAGGTAATTTGTGTGTATATTTATAAGTTTACACACATATTTGGATAAATTTCAACATTTTTAGTGGTTTTTTGATAAAGTTTGAAATGAGGATATTTTTAAAAACTCATATTTGAAAAAGGTATTTTTGAGATTCCCCGAAAATATTTTAAAATTTATGTATATGTAATAAACAACTCTACTCGTCTTACAACTCGACTTGTCTTACAATCATGTTTCGTCATATAATCGTGGAAAAAATCAAACCATATTTAAAATATGGCACTTCAATAATACGTTAGTTTAAATTTGGTGTAGATATATTGGAGTGTCAATTGATTTTCAAGACATATCATAACTATTTTCTACTTGATAATAATCCTTTAAAAAGACGTTGTTTGTTGTGAACAGGTGAACAAAACCGTTAAATAGTCATTGTTTCGAGAGATGTCATTGTCACCCTGTCATTTGACCCATCACCGTTAAATAGTCATTGTTTCGAGAGATGTTGAAATCGGCTAATTTCATATAACTAGATTGTGTACCTGCGCGTTGCGCGGGATTTTAATCTAAAACCTCTTCTATCAATAATAATCTTTGAGCATAACTATAATCATTCAAATTTTAGAAGATAAAAGCTATATAATTTAACACTAAACTAATTTTTTAAGTGATATACAACATATATATTGTTGGCGATAATGTTTTCTTGACAAATAAATGTTTTAATATTATTACATGGTAACGAAGATTACTTGAAAAGATTTGCGAGAAGAGTAAATGGCATCGACACCAGCTCATGATCCTAATTGTAGATATCTTTATGATTAGATGTTGATACAAATATAATACCTCTATATATAACACAAATTTACCGAGCCTCATATACATCATTAAGTGTAAAGATACATATATAATATCATGTCGCTAGAGTAGGTTTAGCGAAGTTGCTTTATCCATCGGAAAAAGTGCAATGTGGTAAAAGAGAACTCTCGACCAAGTCATGAATGTGTCTATCTTATCTCATTTCTATAACTAACGGTTAAGCCCGACTTTGAATCTAGTAGTATGTCTAGAGTTTCTTCATTTCACACAATAAATGAGATCTCAAATATTTCAAAATTTAGTCATTTACATTATCTTTTTAAGTTATACAGCGTGTTCGGCAGTAAATCGCAGTCGCAGTGATCGGCGACCAAAAATATGCTTTTACTTCTCCTTTAAACCTTCTCTATTTTTCTTCTCTTCATTTCATTGCGACTGAAATACTATGATTTTGGAATCGCCAGATGAAAATACTTATGTCTTTGTTTTGAAGATGCGATTGTCGCAGGTTTGAACCAAGAACAGAGATCTACGGAGAAGACGATCTTAAAAAATATTCTGTATCGTACAAATCTATTTTTTAATTAGAAATTTGCCAAATTTACAAAGACAGCCTCTAATATATTAATAATTACAATATGTCGTTGTTTCTCAAGGAGTCGCACGTCTCAGTCGCGCGTTTATCAAAAGAACATGGCCATAGTCATTTATATTCAATCGTTTTTAACAACTAATTCTTTTGTGATCTTCTATAATGCACTCGTTACCTCTCGACATCTAGTTTATTTCTACCTTCTATTAGCTCTCGTATACTATATATTGAAGTGTGAGTTACTTTTTAAGACATATCATAACAATTTCTTCCTTAATAATCGTCAATTTTGGGTTAAAAGCATTGATTCAAATCATGGGATAGCAAACTTGTTTTTCTTTTAGATTATTTTATAAAGGTATAGTACTACTTGAGAATAATTAAACTTTATTTTTGAGATATGCTACACAAATTACATATCAGGTTACGGCTTACATATCACTTTCTCTATATTTTATTGTAAAACTCATGAATAATGTGATAGTTAATTGTTTATTATTTTAGAATATGGATAATAATGTTTTTATAATTTTTATATTCTTAATAGAATTTCACGACATAAAGTGTGACCTTTCAAATATTTTCATCTTAAAGTATTTTAAATTGAGTTTAGTAATCTTTTGTTTTTAGTTTAAATTTAATAAAAACAATATGTAATATTTTTTTTAGAACTTATGTTTCACTTTAAATTTATTTTTCCTCTTTAAAATTGTAAAAGTAAAATTACAAACAATTTGTATTATTCTACCACGCATTTAAAATTTAAGTAAATTTTAAAACACATTACCACGTTTAAAATTCCAAAGTATGATTATTTTAAAGTTTGTTGTTGTTTAGAGTTTGAATCATAATATTATTACTAATAAAATTCTCATAGTATTGGTTTTACTATTTTAAATTTAATTTATTTTACATATTTTTATTTTTAAATTATTTATTTATTAACATGAAAAGAAATTATATGTTAACATTATGTAAATTTCTTTTTTCTTTATCTTTAATTTTTATTAATTATAAATAACATATATGATTCGAATTACTTATTATTTATTTAAACAGAAAGTACGGGGGCGCCTAGGGTTTTAAGAGGCGATTAGGGTTTTGCGAAGTTCTCATCTAGAAGGCTTGTTTTCTAGCGAGTGAGATACGTTTACCGGGTTTCATCTTGTTGCGCCGGAGTGTTTGAAGTTCGTTTCAGCCAGTCGTCGGGTTTGTTTTGGTGTAAGAAGGCTTGGGAGAGATTGAGTATGGAGTTTGCGCTTGACAAGGCTTTGAAGGAGATGTCTTTGGATGAAGAGGAACCGATTGTGTTGAGAAACTTACCACAGTTTAGTTCGTGTGAACGGAATGAACAAAGTATCATCGGCCGTCTTCTGTGCCCGGAAAACCAGAAGATGTCGAGTTTGATTCATGAGATGCCTCGGATTTGGCGAGTGTATAACAGGGCAAGGGGTATTGCACTTCCGAATGATAGGTTCCAGTTCATCTTTGATTCGGAGAGAGAGATGCTCACAATTCTGGAAGCTGGAGCTTGGACGTTTAATGATTGGAGCATGACTTTGGAGAGATGGGTGGAAAAGCCACCAGCAGATTAACTTAAAGTGTTACCGGTTTGGATTCGCTTAAGAAATATCTCGGTGAACCACATGACAAAAGAAACAATACAAGAGATTGCCGAGCATATTGGAACACTTACTGATGTGGCTTTCGACCCTTTGCAACCTCTAAGTAAGGGTTACGTGAGAGCTAGGTTTTTGCTGGATGTAAGTCGACCATTTAGGAATAACAGGATACTTCAAACTCCAACGGGTGAATCGGTGACTATCAACATTGAGTATGAGAGGATTAGGCGACGGTGCTACCAATGTCAACGTATCACACATGACAAAGAGCGCTGTCCATTTAACCCCTTAAACCGGCAAGTGATTGCTACGGGTGGGGTTAAATCTTCTACTGTCATTCCATCGCGACTCCTCCCTCAGATCAGTAAAGATGATCCGTTGTTTGGAGTTGTAACCAATGATGATGTAGGGATCGACTTTGCTACTGGTAAACCAAAAATTTCTAAAGAAGTTCTTGATGAGATGCGACAATATTTATCAGTCGCAGATCCGGAAGTGAAGAAGATTCACATTGCTAGGGTACGAAAATCAGTGTGGGATCTAGAAGGGGATTTACAAGGACAAAAAACCTGTCTAAGGTTGGAAGCTCCTACAAAATTCACAACGGATGTCGACAAAGGAAAGGGATTAGTGTTTGGCTTTGAAGGAATAGGGACGAGTACAGACGGTGGAGGTGAACACGTTGTCTCGGTTGTAGCTCTAGGAAAGGCAATGACGCGGCTTTCGCAACCGTTGCAATCCAGGTCGGCTACTTATGCAACGGCCTCGCAACATGAGCTTGATTCTACGGGTTTCAAGGCCAGTTTCTCGGCCGGTTCATCCGGAATCAAGCCCTCTAGAGGGAAACAGCGGAGACGACCTAGCCAATGGAAGAGGAAAGCTCAAGCCCTATAACCTGGTGGTGGCCCAAAGCAAGCATTACATGCTGAAGAGAGTATGAAAGAAGGTACTTACAAGAGAAAGGCAACTCATGAAAATGTGTGGATAGCTAAAGTTGCAAAACAAAACGATAGTGCGGTGGTTCCGGTTGAGGAACCGCTGCAACAGTAATGAGCTTCATGAGTTGGAATTGTCAAGGTTTGGGGGGCAACTTGACAATTCCTATTTTGAGGGAAATGAGACGTCAACATTTCCCGGATTTTTTGTTCCTCTTGGAGACTAAAAACTCCAGTAGTGTTGTAAGAAATCTGCAACGTTCTCTTGGTTATGATAAATCTCACATTGTTGATCCAGTGGGGTTGAGTGGAGGACTTGCATTGTTTTGGAAGACATCTTATGAAGTTGAAGTTTTAAGTTCAAGTACAAGAATTATTGATGTAAAAGTCAAGCTTGGATCTCTTTGTTTCTTTATTTCATGCGTGTATGGAGACCCGGTTCCACATTTACATCAAGCTGTTTGGAATACATTAATTGACATTGGAGTATCCAGAGATGATCCATGGTTAGTACTTGGTGATTTAAATGAGATCATAAATAACTCTGAAAAGCTTGGTGGGCCGTCACGGGCGGAGTCATCTTTCTTTCCGTTTAGGAACATGATAAATGACTGTCGTCTACGGGAGGTCCCAAGCATTGGTAATAAATTCTTATGGGCTGGAGAACGCAACAAGTTATGGATACAATGCCGCTTGGATAGGGCTTTAGGGAATGAGGATTGGTTTCAACTATTTCCACGAGCACAAACAGAGTATTTGGAGCGTATAGGCTCTGATCATAGACCACTACTAACCCGGTTTGTAAATGAGAATATGTCCCGCCGTGGACGTTTTCTTTTTAACAAACGCTGGATTTCCAAAACCGGTTTTGGCGACGTGATACGTGATGGTTAGTCTAGAGGAAATGCTGTTGGTCAAACATCATTAATGCAAAGGATTGCTAATTGTAGAAGATCGATTTCTACATGGAAGAGAGAAACAAACCAAAACTCTAAAACACGTTTAACAGAGCTTCGTGGTGCAATGGAGATTGAAAGTTCAAAACTGCAACCGGATTTTTCTGTCTTAAAGACGTTACGTTGGGAGTTATCTGAAGCTTATCAAGAGGAGGAGTTGTTTTGGAAGCAACAAAGCGAGGAACGCTGGTTAAGAGAGGGTGATTGCAATACCAAATTTTTCCATGGTAGTGTTCAACAGCGACGAGTTCAGAACAGAGTTTTATCACTTTTTGATGCGAATGGAATCGAACAATTCTCTGAAGCTTCAAAAGGAGAGATAGCTGTTGACTATTTCCGAAACTTTTTTTCTAGCTCTCAACCGTCCTCAGTTCCAGAAGCTTTAGAAGGCATGATTCCGCGTGTTACTCAACAGATGAATATGGAACTTATAAAACCAGTTTTGGGGGAAGAGATAAGGATTGCTGCATTAAGTATCAAAGGCGAGAGTACTCCGGGGGCGGATGGTATGTCGGGGCATTTCTATCATAAATATTGGGACATCATTGGACCTCAAGTCATGGAGGAAGTGCATCAATTTTTTCAATCCGGCAATCTACCCTCGGAATGGAACTTTACACAGTTATGCTTACTCCCGAAGAAGCCTAACCCCTCTCATATGACTGATCTTCGTCCAATCAGTCTATGTTCTGTGGTGTATAAAATCGTCTCAAAGGTTCTTTGTAATAGATTGAAGGTCTATTTACCAGAGATTGTATCGAATACACAAGGAGCTTTTGTATCCGGGAGATTAATTTCGGACAATATTCTTTTGGCTCATGAAATGGTGCATGCGTTAAAGACGAATCCAAAATGTAATGAAGACTTCATGGCCATTAAGACGGATATGTCGAAAGCATATGACCGCGTTGAATGGGATTTTCTCGAAGAGCTATTAATACGGCTAGGATTTAATATTATTTGGGTGAAATGGGTAATGAGCTGCGTGCGATCTGTTTCTTATTCCGTTTTAATTAACGGCTGCTCTTACGGTTTTTTCAAACCTGAAAGAGGCATTCGTCAAGGTGACCCACTATCGCCATTTCTTTTTATTTTGTGCGCTGAGGCATTAGTTCACATCATGAATCGAGCTGAAGTTACGGGCCGTTTAACGGGGATGAGGTTATCTAATGATTGCCCTTCGGTACAACATCTTCTCTTTGCGGACGACAGTTTATTTCTTTGCCGTGCTACGTTGTCAGAATGTTCGGAGTTTCTTCAGTGTTTACAGCTTTATGGGAGAGCTTCGGGACAAGAAATAAACTTTCAGAAATCATCAATAAGTTTTGGGCAGAAGATTGATCCAATTATGAAACGGTTAATTAGCTGTTTTTTGGTATTTTTCAAGAAGGTGGGGCTGGAAAATATTTGGGTCTATCCGAATGTTTCAGTGGTTCAAAAACAGAGATACTAAGTTACATCACTGAGCGTCTGAAGGCTAGACTCAGCGGTTGGTATGAGAAGACCCTATCTTTAGGAGGTAAAGAGGTGTTATTAAAATCTGTCGCTATGTCTCTCCCGGTATATGCAATGTCCTACTTTAGGTTAACTAAACAACAATGTCAGAAAATCAATAGTGCTATGTCAAGCTTTTGGTGGAATGCAACTGAGGACAAGCATAAGATGCATTGGGTCTCGTGGGAGAAGCTATGTCAATCTAAAAAACGAGGAGGCCTTGGTTTCCGGGACATTGGACAGTTTAATCAAAAACTATTGGCTAAACAAGCTTGGCGTTTGCTTCACTATCCGGACTCACTGTTGTCAAGAGTGTATAAGGCCAAATATTTTGCAGACAAAGGTTTTCTTGAAGCTAAACTGGGCTATAGACCGTCCTATGCTTGGCGTAGCATCATGTTTGGAAGAGAATTGTTGGAAAAGGGTCTAATGAAGTCCATTGGTAATGGAGTCTCTACATCGGTCTGGCTGGATAAATGGGTTTATGATGACAAGCCAAGGCGACCGTTCAACAAAGAATCGAGAATGGATATCAATATGAAAGTTGCAGAGCTGATAACATCACAGGGTGAATGGGATCTCCAACTCTTAAATGAGCTCTTTCTACCTTGTGATATCATAAGCATATGTTCATTTCCACCGAAAGTTGATTTGAGTGACAGTGTAGTTTGGGCGTACACATCAAATGGTAGTTACTCTGTTAAAAGTGGCTATTGGCTACTTTCTCACTCAGGAGACCTGCTAGAATCAGTCTCGCAAGACAAGCAACAGCTGAACTGCCTCAAAGAAAAAGTGTGGGCTTTGCGAACAGCCCCATAAATAAAATTGTTCCTTTGGCGAGTCCTCTCATGTGCTGTAGCGGTTGGAAAGTGTTTGATGAGACACGGAATTGGTGTAAACACTCTGTGTAAAGTTTGCACGAGGGATGAGGAAACTATATCTCACGTTCTCTTTAAGTGTCTCTCTGCTTTTCAGGTTTGGGATGTGAGTGGTCTACCAATACCTACACAAGGTTTTTCAATGTCGATTCCAGAGAATATGGAGTACATGTTTTCGTTAATGGAGAAAACAGAGATAGCCTCACATTTGCGAGCAGTGATACCATGGCTACTTTGGGAGATTTGGAAAGCTAGAAACGGGTTAGTGTTCTCACAACAAGCTATTGATATATTGTGTTTTTATCGGTTTTAAGTCTTTCTTTTCTTTTTCATTTTATAACTTTTATTGAGTCAAAGTTTGTTTTTAGAGTCTTTTATTCCATTATAGAGTATTTACAGGTTTTAGGTTGCTTTGGAATAAAACGAGCTGTTTTGGGAAGCAAACACACATTTGGAGTGCAGATTCATGTAGAAGTGTCAGATTTTTGGGATCAGATGAACAACTTTCCACCGTTAGATCTTTCTTATATTTTGACACAAGATGATGACAGATGTTAGCTTTCATTTGCAAGTGATTTCAACGAAATCTAACGGTACATTCAAGAGTTACACCCGATTTCGTGAAGACAGGTCATTCTGCCGAGTTGTTGAAGCTGATGCAGAAGTAAAACCTGGGAGCAATAGACCGATCGGTCTAACTGTTGGATCGATCGGTCCCTTACCTCTGACGCAGATTTCGGCCCATATTCGATCCAAAACAGATCCAACTCGTCTCATATTGTTTTTATACCCTAGGCTCGACTTTTAGCAGCTATCCTTCATATTTTTGAGTTCTAAACATTGTTCTTTGCTTTCTAAACAATTTTGAGAGAAGAATCCATCCTCTTGACACTTGGAGAAGATTTCTAAACCCTTTCTTATTGTTTCTGAAATTTCATCATGTTTTCTTTATCTATGATTTTTGTTTTCTCTTTTGCTAAGTTTGAGTAGTTCTTCTATTGGGTTTTAGGGTTTCAAGTAGGAGAATTCAATGATTTGATAGATTAGATGTCTTAGGGAATTCTTAATCATTAGGTTCTTCAATTTACATGTTCTCAATGCTAGAATAGGATTGATCACCCTGTTTTAGAACATAGGCTTTTATGTGTTTCAGAGATGTTCGATAAAATGCCTGAATGAATGTTAATTGAGCATTGTACTTCTAACCTGCGAGAGTTGATGTTAGAACGCTTTGTGAACCAAATGAACCTGTTTGATAATGCAAATTTGGCTAGGAAATTACAAATGAGAGTTTAGTAATTGAATAGTTAAAATTTAGTGGCTAATGTCTTGAGAGAGAATTAGTCTAAACTTCTGTTTATGTTCAAGAACGGTTCTTCATGTTTGAATTCCTTATTGCTTTTATTTGTTATTCATTGATTCTCTGAAAATACCCTGCAGCCCAATGTCTTAAATTCATAAGTTTAATCTCTTTATTTGCATTTTTATTTACAAAAACTGAAAAACAAACAACAAGTCTTTCCGCTTTAGCTGATAACGAGTCTCGAAAGTCTTTAGTGTACCATTTCTCCTTGTGATCGATCCCGCATATACTTTACTTCGGTTAAGTTATCGGGTTAAATACTCGAGTAATCAAGTTGGCGCCGCTGCCGGGGAGCAATTGCTTTACCTAAATATTTAGGATTAGTTTTTAGTCTAGAGCATTTTCTTGACAGTTTTTTTTAACTAACAATTTTTATTTCTTTTTGGTGATTTAGGAGTTGTTGGCCATGGAATTCAATGATTGGCCACAAGAAGAAGAGGATGAGCCATATATAGAGCCACCATTTGATGAGAGTGTTCTTA